GATCTGGAGGCTGTGTCGAAGCCAGGTTTCCTTGACGAGAACGTCGCAGATCTCTTTGACAGAGGATTTTATCTCCTCCTCAAGGGTTGAGGACCTGAAGGAAGTGAACAAGGCGGCTGTTGGTGCTATGGCGGACATATTGGCGGAGGCGATGCGGGTGGGCAAGCGGCAGGCGCTGGCGCGGGCGCACACGGTGGCTTTGACTCTGGACGACAAGCAGCCCCACCGCTGCCTCATGTACAAGTCCAGCGGTGTCGCAGGCGGCAAGCACGAATCCTCAGCCGGTATGTTGGCGCTCCTCAAGCCCGCGCAGGCGAGGGAAACGCCTGCGTCCGCAGGCGCAGCGCTGCAATACTTTGACGAGGATTATGCTGTGCGGGTGCGAGATTCCATTCTGGCGGCAGTCAGACTTTTTTGCACGGACATCATGGGCCAGTTTGATGAGAGCCTCTACAGCCACATCCTGATGAGCACCAAAATCTTCGCTGGCGATGGCGCTTTGTTGAAGGCAGGCGTGCTGCTCAAGGAGGTGATGCCCAACGTGGTTGTAGTACCCGGTCTGCTTTCATTTATAGGTTAAACCGAGAGCTTCCCAACAACATAATATAAAGGTATATATATATATATATATACATGATTTGTTGAGGATGATTATCATTGTTGTATGTATATATGTATACAAAAAAATTATGATTATATGAACAGGACAGGAGAAATACTTTGAACAAACATAGTTTTTTCTCGTACTCACTATCTGCAGTCCGATAAGATGCGTTCCTTCTTATCATCTGGCCCCCCGCAGCCAGGTGCATCGCGATCCCAGCCATGCCATCAGGCTAGCGGCGCAGGCGGCCGAGGTGGCGGACGACAACTTCGCGGAGGTGTGGGCGCGGCTTTTTGGGGGGAAAGGCTCACTGGTGCCAGACTTGCAGCACAAGCACGATACTTTGCACAATGTGTGTGCGTTGTGTGTGTTTTTTTCACTGATAATTTTTTTTTGCATACTCATAGATTGTAACTTCAAAGTCTGTTCTTACTTGTACAAAAAAATACATCATGGGTATGAACACATTCGTTTACTGGTCTCTGAGGAGTGGCGGGCGCGCCTGGTGGCGATACAAGAAGGTTTGCGCCAGGGTGGGCGTCTCGCAGGCGTTGTCGATGTGGTGCTGAAGCATTTTCAGTTTGCTGCGCACCGCTGGGAGAGCTCGAGCACGCCCAAGCGCAGATTTGCGTTTCTTCTTGGGCCCGTCATGCTGGCGCTGGCGGCAAGAGCCGTTGATGTGCGAACACAACCGGCTGACATGAAGCAGGCGATGGCGCTTTTGGCAGCCATGACGCCCGAGTTCATCGTTAGGGCTGGGCTGTCGGCGGATTTCAATGCGGAGGTGCTGGCGTTCATCCGCTTCTTTGACCAGCGCGATGCAGACCCGGCGTTGTTCAGGGAAAAGTTCCTTCGCTGGCGCAGGCGGATGAAGTCTCTGTTCTGCGACGCAGAGATCCTCAAGGAGCTGCAAGGGAAGCCGGCGGAGGAGCAGAGTGCCACGTGGCTGATAATTACGCAGGCGATGGCGCTGCCGCCGTTGTATGTACATGACAAGGTGTTCACGGCTTGGCCTAGAACGATGGGCCTGGGCCAGGCGCAGGGGGCCGCGAAGGCGAAGTGCTTCGAAACCATGGCGTCCGTGCAGACGGTGGTGGACCTGACGTTGAAGCGCGTGGAGGCAGAGCTCCCGCAAACTGGTCTGTTTGCCGACCTGTCCGTCTTCGACTTGCACTCTGTGCCAGAGCACCCAGGTCAGGAGTGGTGGGACAGCAAGCGTCGGCGCTTGAACAGGCTGTGCGCGCCCGAGTCTTTTGCCTCTGTTGCATTTTGTATCAGCTTATAATACACACTTACCCAATCTTAGTTAGTTGTTGCAACATGACTTTGCAGTATGCAACAGTACACGATTCGATACGTGCTATCACTCGTACAACGTAGACAGTAAGGGACCGCACGAAGTTCAGCCTGAGGTGCAAGGCGCTCAACGTGTGTCCGGGCACTGTCTTCCAGCTTTACAAAGAGGCCTTGCCCTTGCTGAAACGCACAACTGCGAGCGACTCAGTTGGCGGGGTCGCAGGCGAGGGCGACGGCGATGGCGATGGTGACGCTTGCCGGCATTGGTAAGCCGAGGTAGTAGTAACTATGTGCCAAGTGTATGGTTTCATTATTATGTACGTACCCAGAATCATTTTTTTGATCAAGTTGCCTACATAGTAAAAATTATATTTTCAATATGTGAGTGTATGTATGGGGTAGGCTAAATTGCTAAATTGTTGAACATGAATGTACATGTCTATCTATGTGTGAAGAATAGTTGAAAAATGCCGCTTGATAAAAATTCTATGCCTATCTTTCCACTGCAATCCTTTCAAATTTAATTTAAGTATCTTATTTAGTTACCCATTCCAAGGGCGCCGACAATCGAAAGATTTGGGGGCGGCTCTTCAAGGACGGCGTCCAGCTGCTCGGCGCAGCCGATGCAGAGATGCAGCACTTCTTTGCGGTGCTGCATTTTTACTTGGCTTTCGAAACGTCCACTGGGCAGGTGGAGCGAACGCTCGGGGTTGTCAAGGCGGCGGCGGACGCACACAATGGCGACACGACAGCGACTGCGAATGTCACGTGGGTGTCGGCGGAGCTTCTTCTGGACGGACCGGCAAAAGAGTCCGAGTTGTTTACGAAAGTCGTGGGTGCAGATGTAGGCGAGGGCGATGGCTCAAGGGCAAAGGTGGGCAACCACTTTCTCCTGACGCCGTTCAGCCGCCGGCTCTGCCGTCTGTGGCTCCGGAAACATGGCAGGCGTTTTCACGTTTACAAAGTTCGCAAGGATCGCGGCTTGAAAAGAACCCAGAAAAAGGGTAGCGAGGCTTACGTTGTGAGCCGCATGGCGTCGGCGCGGCGACAGTTGGCAGCTGGAAAAGGAACCTGCAAGAAACTCTTGGGCAGCAAGGCCAAGGACTTCGTGCAGAAGAGTGACGAAAGGTTCCAAAATAGCAAAGTTTGGAACGCAAAGCTCCAGCGAGCTTTCGTTTTGGCGAAGACACGTGAACGGCAACGCAAGGCGATGGCGGAGGCGCAGGCGTCAGTCTGGAAAGAGCAAGCGGCCCTTCGTCGTGGCGACGTCGTTGGCGAAGTCCCAGGCGCGGTTGTGGACCTTGTCCAGGCCAGAGACGTGCGGACGAGGTGGTCGCTGTCACAGCGATCACTGCATGTCTTTTATGCATGCAAGGAGGCGCCGGCGAGCAGTCCTCCAGTTTATGTAGATGAGTGGAGACGCTCTGACCCGCAGGCGTGGCTGCCCTTGCTTCGGCGGGCAGACTTGGTGGTTCTCGAAGATGCCTCTGACCTGGACTTCAGTGACGGGCATGGGTTTCTTGGCTGATTGTACTCTGATGTTTTATGGTGTCAAGTAATACGTAGTTGCAGCACTTTCTTTCTGTCTTGTGGAGCTTTCAATTGTATGTGAAACATGTTCCAGTAATCTATGTGCACATCTCGCAGCGGAACCACCCGATCACCACCCCCGTCGCTAGGGCAGCTACAGCAATCACGCCTATCCTGCAGATGTTCTTTTCACAGGTTGTTGCTATAGTGCGGTTCTAAATGAAGATAGAGGCTGGCTAAAGGGAGCTCCCACAAACGTGCCCAGGGCTGGCTTCGTGGAACTGGCGTTGGCGGTGGTGGCGTACGGCAAGGCTGTCGTGAGGCGCAAAGATTTCCGGATTGAAATCTGGAAGATCGACTCGGAGGCGTTGGTGTTTCACAAGGCGGCGGCGCGGGCGCAGCCTGCACGTTTTGACGTGACAGAGGGCTTCTGCGAGACTCACCCGAGGTCCGCCAAGGTCCTGCGGACACTCTGTGAGTCTTCGGCTGGCGTGTGGAAGATGGCGAAGATCGCTGAGGCGCAGGCGCAGGTGACGGGAAAGGCGCAGCCGCAGGTGAAGGCGAAGGCGAAGGCGAAGCAGAAGGCGAAGGCGAAAGCGAAAGCCAAGGAGGCTGAGTTTCTCATCAAGGATCTCGTGTCCGCTTCCAGCTCCTGTCGTAGCCTCCGCTCTGTAGAACGGCCGAAAGGCATAGGGAGCCAGCTGCTGAAATGAGCTTAGTCTAGCAAGATTTATTATTCAAAGTCTTTCTTCTAAGTTGTAGACACTTATGTACTTTAGGAAGAGGGTATAGTCATGCAGCAGTTGCTGGATCATGTTTCAACAGCTAACAGGACTCGCGGCCAAAAAGCGTCTGTGCACTATCGTTCTTTGGCAGACAGGACTTGATAGGTCCATTTTCTTCTGGTGACATGAGCAAGCAATTCAGTGGTCCCGCGCTGTATGTTTGCCCTGACACGCAGGCTTCGCCACAGAAGTTGCACTGCCAGATGTCCGTGGCGCAGGTGCCGTATAAGAGGGAGGTTGCGCAGGGGCATGTTTTGGAATGCGGTGGTGTAAACTGTAGACTGGAGGATTTAGGGGGTTTTTAGGGGTTTAGAGCTTTGATCTGGCACTACAAAGGTGAACCACAGAGTCCAGAGGTCACTTCGTGCTTTAGATGCTTCTGGAGCAGGGGTGTTTGGATCTTGTCGTTCAGGGCATGTGGGCTAGGGAGTGTCAGGTTTGGGGTTTAGCTAGAGGAGTTGTTTACAGTGGCGCTTGAATTTTGAGGTTCAAGGGCACGCGTTGCGTAGGATATATAATATAGGGTTACTGGATCACCTTCATATGAGGCTCATTTGTCTAACGTAGCAGCATGCTTGATGATTGTTCGTCCTGTGTATGTTGCATTTTTTCACAGTTATAATCACATGTTCACAGCCATTCAGTAATAATAGGCGTAGGCCCATCCGCAGGCGCTCAGGCGTGGCCGTAGGCCGTAGGCGTAGGTGTGGGTGCAGGGGAAGGCTACTATAGGCCAGACAGGCGGTCATAGGCGGTAGGCGTAGGTGTAGGTGACTTCTCTCGTCATGGAGCTACCATTCGAGATACCATTCGCGCTGCCGCCGGTGCCGGCGAACAGTGTGTTGGTGGCGTGGGGCGCTGAGCACAAGTACATCGTGGGCGACAGTGCCCAGGTTTTAAAAAACGGTCAAATTTTCTTTTTAGTGTCAAACATAAACTGCATGGTTTTAGGTACTAAGCAATAAGTGTTGTAAACAGAAGTGAGAAATGCTCTCTTGACATACCTTAAATGCCGAGGATCCGGCGGGGGCGTTGGCGAGAAGGGGCGGGACATGATGGCGGGGTTCTATTACGGCAAGTTCCCAGGCCATGTTCACTACACAATCGATGTGAGGAACATGATGAGGAGTCCGCAGGCGGAGGGGCAGGCGGAGGGGCAGGCGGAGGGGCAGCGGCGCGGGCGGTTCAAAAAGGTGGAAGGAGACTTGGCTGTTCAAGTTGTATTTGACCCTAGGCGCTTTTGAAGCATTATTAATATTATATTTTAGGGTTATTGAAGACCCCTTGCCCTCCCAGGCGAATGGCACCCGGCGAACAACCAAGATTTTTTGCTGGCGATGATGGGCGAACTCGGCTTTGCGAAGGCATTGGCGTCGGTGGTGGGGGCTGTGTACACATATTTGCAGGCGCAGGCGAGTGACACGATGGAGTCACGGCCATTGTGCGTGCAGCTGGTCTGCATCTTGACTCAATAATATGTATTCAGGAAAGTTGCGAGTGACATATTTTTAAAAGGCACGGTTGCGTTTTTGGTTTTGTCCTCCCAGATGGTTAACTAATTCATACCCGAGTCATATGTTTTCATACAGGATCATGAACAAATGTAAGCAATTAATATTCAATCAAATAAACCACACTAACAGTATGAAGTATTAAGTAGAATCCTTGTACCAGGTTCCCAAGGCCTGCACAGATCTGCGGCGGTGGCGGTGCTGACGGCGCTGGTGTTCAACTTCGAATTCGAGCTGCCAAGTCATGACGGCTTGTTTCAGGCGCAGGCGTATCCGAAGGGGTCGAGCGTCACTGGCGACGTTTGCATCGACGACAATGCGGCGAAGCGTATCGAGGAGCTCGTGGCCCGCGTGGGTCGGATGCTGAAGTACAGCGAGGCGCCGGCGACGTCGACGCCACCGTCGGCGCACACCAGCGCTGCAGCTGGGTCGGCGCAGGCGCCACCAGGTTTGCAGGACCAGGCATGGGATGCTGTGCTTCTTTTTCTGTAGGATTTGATGCGGTTTGATTATAACCATCTAAGACTACTGGGATAGTCAAAGAAGTCTTGATGTAGTCACTTGTTTCATTGATTGAATTGTGGCAGGTGCGAGCACAGGTGCTGAAGCACGCGCCGGCGCTTTGTGACCAGTTTGACGCGTTTAAGGTGGACCAACGCGTGTGGGTGGTTCCCAGGCTTTTGATTTGCTATCCTGAACCCACACCTTTAGACCCCTCATTCCTGTAGCCCTCAACCCTGAACCACAAATCGCAAACCTAGCTATAACTTAGTACCCTAAAGACGTTGCACAAAAATACACTTGGGCCCTATACCGAGAACGCGTCGGTGTTGGTGAGCATGGACGGCGGTGTGTCGAAGGCGCAGGAGATTGTTGGGTGGCTCGATAGCAGCTTGCCTGCTATTACAAACAAATAATACTAAAACCATTACCTCCCAACCCCCCCTCAACTAACTCAGGAATGCTCCATAGCAGTCGTCCTCCAGCCTGGCGCAATCCGTCAGCAATGATAACTGCTGCCATCAATGAACGGGTTGACATGCTGAAAAATCGGAGCTTCTTGGCTGAAGGTAGCCTAGTCAGTAGTTCATTGTAGTAAGAAGTGTCCGTCGCATTGTAGTTCAATTTTATTTTTATTGCTGATTCGCTGGGTCTTCGTACTCCGAGCACAAAATCCCACTCAGGTTGGAACCGGCATGAGCAGAGTTGGAGTGGCAACCATGATGACGATGGTTGGCGTTGGCGTGATGATTATTACCGCCGGCGTGGTCGTCCCAAAGGCGGCCACTATGAGGACTGTGTTTATCAACATGGTAACTGGATTTACGACTACGTGCACTTGCACTTGTCGTTACATTGTAAGAAACATATTACATAGATGTATCTATGTATTTTATGTTTTATTATCACTGTCTTTTTTAACAAATATGCACATATTCATATATATATATATATATTATAACATATACATATTATATGTGTATATGTAAATGATAAGTAGGTTGTCTTCCCAGGACCATGGTGATGGCGCAGGCGCTGGGCAGCGTGGTGGGCGTGAGCGCAGGCGGTCCCGCTCTCGCGACTCGCGCGATGGTGATGGCGCAGGCGCTGGGCAGCGTGGTGGGCATGAGCGCAGGCGGTCCCGCTCTCGCGACTCTCGCGACAAGGGGCGAACGCGAAGGAGCTGGCGCAGCCCGTCGTCAGACTCACGGTGACTCTGGCGATGTCTCATACAACTGCGGCGGGCCGTCTTAAAAAGATTTGGAAGCATCGGGGTTAGATTTCAGACTATCATTGGAAGGCTTTTGTGCTGCGGACTCGGGCGTTCGAGTTTGGCGGGGTGTTGCCGGCTTTAGTTTTCAAACTAACATATCCGCAAAGCCATCGCTCTACGTCACGTCCTCAACACAACCGAACCCCCAAACCCTACACCCCCCTTGTCAAGCTTGCCTCTGAACCCTGCGGCCCACAGCACAACCCCCAAACCACGAACCCCGAATTTCAAGTTCAACCACACCCACGCCCGCCAGTCCCCAAAACCAACACCCCAGCCAAGCAGCGCTAAGCCCGTTGAAACCTAGATCCTGATCTTTCCCCGATGCAGGTGCTGTGGCGCTGGCGAAGCAAGTGAGTCGTCCACAAATGTGGATTGGCATCGCGACATGTGCGTCAGCCCATAAAGTTCGATGTGACACGGGTATGTGAGTACGAGGTTACATGTTGCGGAGATGTGGAAAGCAGCTCTAATGGATATTCGGAACTATTTCGCAGCCGGAAGCAAACGTGAAGTGCTAAAGCCCTTGTATATGGAGCACACTGAGTTTCGCTTGCGTAAAAAGCGCGTGTCAAGTTCAGATTCAGGTGTTTGTTGGTAGCCGGGATGAGCGGGTCAAGTTTCAGGGTATGTTTACACGGGATTGTTATGTTTGGCATTTGGGATCCCTTGTTACTGCAAGCACTATGTAAGGCCCAAACTTGCCTGCATCAGGCAATATTATGTATACAGCAGTTAAAACAGCAAAAACCACTAAAATTTTTCGCCAGGGTCGAAAGCAACACCTAGTATAGTTCCCGTAGGATACCGGACCAGAAAGTCGTGATCTGGACGACGTGGAAGGAATTTCCAGGGCTTGAGCTTCTGCCGGGCTGTTGGTCAGAGTCTCTACGGTAATTCCTTTTTTGCATTACCTGTGGATCCTACATCTAAAATTAGATTGGTGAAACCCAAACTGAACTGCAATGGAGATTATGGGCAAGGCCTAAACTCCAAACCCCGAACTCCTCAACACCGGCTTCCTGAGAAGCCCCAAACCTGATCCCCCTAAATCCCAAACCCCAAACCCTCTAAACTCTAAACCCCAAAACCCGCGAACCCTCAACCCCAAAATCCCTAAACTGCCCTAAACACTAAACCCCTAAAGCCCTAAAACCCTCAAACCCTAAACCCCTTAAAACCCCAAAGTCCCTAAACTCCAAACCCAGAGGGGGTCGAGCATGGGATCGGGTTCTTCGATCGGTTTGACCGAAGGTCTGAGGACCGGTGTCTCTTTTAGGGTCTTTAGGGCTTTAGGGATTTTGGGCTTAACCTGAGGACCGGTGTCTCTTTTAGGGTCTTTAGGGCTTTAGGGGTTTTGGGCTTAACCTTGGGATGTGGGGTTTTTTGGGCTTTTTTGCCGTGTAGGGCCTGTCCGAAGTGTTCGTGTCTTGTCATTTGTCTCTGCAGTGCCTGACCTGTCTAAGGCCGGAAACCCTAGACCTCATCCCTACGACCCCCCTGCAGCCTTAGATTTGCAAGACCCTACGAAGCCTCATAATGCCATTGTATCATCCCTTAAAGCACTGCAGAAATCTATGGGTGGCCTGAAAGCGCTACACAACCTGTTTTCTTGCTCTAATCAGCGCTTACTTGTAGAATCCCGAAACCCTAAACCCCTAAAGCCCTGGTGAAGTTGAAACGATCTAGGATGATTAATGCTGGAACTCCCTATACTCTAGTCTACCTCATGGGCGCGAGGACAACGATGTTCCAACTTTCTGTCTTCTACCTTAAACGGCCCGAAGCCCCAAACCTACAGCGCCCTGCACGATGACACCGTGTGAAGCCTTAATATAGCGGCTTTTTTATAATTGCCTATACTCTTTTTTTGGGGGGGTTCCCTATTATACTTATAGTATAATGGGCCCCCAAACCCTATTCTAGTTTTTGAGGCGCCTATATGGTACCCCTAAACCCTCCGCTCAAGTTCCCTTATTCCCAGGTTCTTGACCTATAAACACACCAAGCTTAACAAAGCCTACATGCGCTAAGGCCTGTCTAACCCTAAACCCTGACCTACGAAGCTAGTGCGTGGTTCCTGAATATGATTTCTTCTATAAGTCTTTAAAAGGGTAGGACATTCAAGGTTAAGGTGACCTATAAACCCTAAACCCTAAACCCTGAGCTTTATTATAAAAGGTCTACAGAAAAAAACCTGTAAAGCTAGTGCATCCGTCATGCTCCGCACTCCTCCCCTGCTCTCAGGACGAGGAGAAGGCCGGCTTTCAAAATAAAATCAGGCTTCTCATAGGATTTCCAAAAGAGGGATGTGTCTTATAAGTGACCGCAAAACCACTTAACTCAGGCCTCTTATCAGTTTTTTGGAGGGCTTCATCGCATAATTAAGTAAGAAACAGACGCTAAGTCATCTGGATTTTGGAAAGAAGGGTTTAGGAGGTAGGGTGAGGAGCTGAGGTTCAGGACCTAGTTTAAGAATTAAGGTTTTGGTAACTCGTGGTCGTCGGAAAACGGTTCTCACCCCGTTTCTCCCTCAAAGCCCCGTGCTGTGGCGAAGACAGATGGGAGTTTCTGAGGATGTGGAAGTTGTTTCTGAGCAAGTTGCTTTTTAAATTCAAGAACAAACCATCGAGTCAACTGCGTGAGAGAGGCATTAGCCTGGAAGTCAAAGACATCGTAAAGTTGTGCGAAGTGCTGTTCCGCTCTACTTCCCAGCGAAGGTTGTTGCTGCGTGGGCTCAATCTACACTCTAGTCTACACTTTAGGGCTTAGGGTTTATCGCTTATAGGGTTTAAAGTCTAAGGTTGCAGACTCAATCTACACTTTAGAGAAGCAGGCGAAGGAGTATACCAAAGGACTCATGAAAGCTGTTTGAGGCTTCGAGGTTGAGTCAGGATTTTGTGTTCGGGAGGTTTACAGTTCCCAATAGGAATTACAGATTCATGGTCCGGGATTCCGGGGTCCAATTTTCAGAGTCTCCGAACGCCACTGCACCTAATTTCGATACGCTACGTGTACGGCGTTCGCTAAAACTAGATAGGCACGTATCCCCCGAAAACCCTACCCTAAACCCCAAAATCACACATATTGCAAAGAGGCAGATGAGCGGTCACAAGAGTCTATGGCTGACGAGTCTGCACCTCTCGGTGAGAACATCTATGCAGCTTGACCTGCGGTTGGATCCAGGATCTAGGGCTTAGGATTTTTTGGGATTTAGTTTAGTTGGCCTGCAAAGGTTTTGGGCTGCAGATTCATAGGGGGCTACTTGGCAACAGCACCTCCTGTCCCGACTGGAGGTACCCAGAAACCTCTGGCGCTAAGCTCCCATAGTGAAGTGCAAGGCCTTAACCTCGTTTGAACAACTGGCCTTTGTGCTACTTCCACACGCGTTGTAGCTTCTCTAAGCATAGTTGCTCTTCGAGTCTTTTAATTATGGCTTTGTGTACTGGCCATCTTGTTGGATGCGTACTTTCGTTGCACTTGCAACGAGCTCAGGCACTGCTCATTGCAGAAGTCACACAGGCCAGCCGACGGAGGGTTCCGTGATAGGGCACTCATGTCCCCGAGATGATTCTCCCGAGATCCTCAGTCGCCCGCAGATGTGGCCTGAGCATGATTCAAGGCATCAGGGGGCGTTTGTTTTTGCATCTGTGAAGAGGCCTGGACAAAGGCCTTCAGCGTGAAGAGTCAGGCAGACCGACACAAGTGTCTTACGGTGCCATGGCGCGAAACATGCTGGGACGACCTTGTTGGGCAGCAACAAGAACCAGAACAGAGCGAAGAAGCGCTAAATCCCAAGGCCTACGCCCCGAACCAAGAAAGATCTGACATCCTCCGAGGTTGCCAGGATCGTCTACGCAATCGTCCTCGTGACAGCCGTGATCGCAATGCAGGCTGGATTTCGGGTTTAGGGGTTCGGATAGACTTCAGAGCTGTTCCCGATGGCACCAAAAATCAGAGGGGCTGCGGTGCAGGGTTTTGCGCTTGTGCAAAGAACTTCGGACTGGGGGCTTTTCGTTCTTGATGTCGAAGCTGGCGAAGGGGTCATGAATTGGCGGGTGCCCGGATCCAGACCAGAGCATGCCAGACTTGGGCATGAGGGCGCAGTATCAGCAATACCTTGCTGAAATTGCTGCAGCAGTTGCTAGGTGTTCCTTCTGCAGTCCGTGTCAACCAAGCTCTGCAATCCGGCCGTGCGGTGCCCTGGCTGCCATGTACAAAGCACATCGGTTCCGAGGAAGGTCAACTACTTTGCAGTCAGATCGCAAGACTTAATATGCTGCAGCTCTATTATACTAGGACTAGCATGTACTACGATAGATGACAAGGACTGCAATATTAGACAAAGCCCGTTTCTTTCTCAATACGTGGTGCCATGCGTAATATTCTCTGTTGTTTGTGCTCGTGCATAACACAGAGATTTTGGCAAAGGGAGTGAGTCAGCTCGCTCTAACCCTCAAACCCTAAATCTTAGGGTCCAGGGGCTGGAAGCAGTTGCCAAAATCTCCTCGGCTCGTCACTTGTTGACATGACAGCTCAACCAAGTTCTTGTTCGGTAAGAAGGGAGCTTGGCATAGCTTGGCCAACCATAGCACACCTTGCGGGCCAGCAAAGCTCATAAAGAAGGCCCCGGTACAGAATTCGCACTCAATTGGGTGAGGATTTCGGCCGTGCCATCAACCCCGATAAAGTGGAAAAAAACACGACTGAGCTCTTGAAACACACTCTGAAGCAAACCGCCTCGTCGTCGGTAATGGCTTTCGCAGGGGATGAACATTTGCTTACTTTGTTCAGGCCTTCTGCCGACTTGTCACAACATGCAGCACATAGTGTGGATGCAGCCAAATACAGCCAAGGGAGGTGCGCGAGATCTACGACAAGTTTCAAACCGCAATTTACGGTGAGGCCTCGCAACCAGGGTCAATAGGTGAAACGCTATGGCTTTATAGGTTGGAGTGTTAGATCCGTTGAAAGAGGATACCGTGACTACATGAATCTCCACGTGCTTCAGCTAAGCATGCGATCGTGGTTTAGTTTGTGTTCGGGCTTGAGCCCATGGTTGGAAAAGTCCGTGTTCAACCTGTTCATGCCTTCCTGTTGTTGAGTCAGCCCTTTACCTGCCAACTTGGACTGATCTTTCGGTGTGTGGTAGCTGGTGTGCTCTTTGCAGGGGGGGATAGAGGATGTTTTTTTTTGTTGAGGTGATTGCTCCGAGACCAGAACCTGCCAATTTCCTTGCTAGGTAACATCCCAACAAACACTTTCCCCCCCTGAAACCTGACGCAGCAATAGGTCGGACGGCGAAGGAACAGGAAATATGGCTTGTGCGCATAATGAACAAGTGGGTGGCGGGATGAAGACACGCACAAGTAGCTTACAGTGGTCTTGTCACTAGGAGGCTTTTCAGAATCATGATAAGTGATAAGTGCGGTATTCCTATTCGCTGTCGAGGTCCAAGTGAGAGGAATATCCTTACAGTTTTGTCACGGCAAGTTCATTCGTTCAGCGTTTACATTTCAGAGGGCCTGGTCTTCCGAGTTCTATGCAGGTAGAGAAGCCCTTGACAGTTCCCAGAAGTGGGCCCTAAATCAACAGCTCCCTCTGAAGAACACTTACATCACCGTCAACGGCTTCCACCGCGGCAAAGACGGCGCAGAGGTGAACATGGAAGGTGTGCCGTCGGATGGGAGCGTGGGGGCTCGGGGTCTTGTAATCCTGAAACATGTGGATGTCTCTGTGTGTGTGTGTATATGCATGTATGCACACATCATGTAACATGTAGACAAAAACTTAATGACACCCTGTAACACCTGTAGACCGTCCTCAGCTTCGCCTACGCGCTGTAAGATCAGGAGCAAAGGCTCAGTGTAGGCTTTTAGGTTGGCAATCCCTGCCTACAGTGAACCCCAGCAAGCCGGAACCGGATGATTGCTGTACCTTAGGGGCATAAGGATAGTGACAGTGATGTTCCAACTTTGGCTTCTACTATCTACCCTAGCCAGTTTGTTTACCTAGAGGGAGGATGACACCCATCCTCTGGTTTTGGTCCATGTACTTTTCGGGGTTCCCAAAAGCGTACTGGCTCCAGGGTTTAAGGTTTGGAGTTTGGGATTTAGGGTTTGAGTTGTTTTCTCGTCTGTCAGGGTTTGATCGTCAAACTGTCTAGCTGTTCTTGAGGCTTGCAGGGTCTAGTGAGTCTAGTGTTGGGATTCATAAGTTAGGTTAACGGGCACTATGGTTCAGGATTCTGCTTGTTCTGGATATCCTTGCCCCGGAGTACCGAGACTGCGGTGCCGGGTTCAGGGTAGCATCCGACTTTAGGTTGTGCCCTTCACCCATCCGTCTGAAGAAAGTTTTCCTCAAGCACCCAAGCCCCAAAACCTAAACCCTAAACTCATAGTGCTGCTTGCGCAGGCTTCCGCGCACTGTCGCAAGACACGAAGGTCTCCATCTGCAGCGTGCTGCTCCTTCAATAACGGCTTTGGGTTCGGGATCTTAAACCTTATGATGCCCGGGGCTGTATCAGTATATACTCGTAACGTGCTTTATTGATTATTTTGAGTCTGAACGCGGCCTGAATCAGTCCACCCCAAGCCCTGAAGCAAGCATGTTGATCCCGCATCAAGAGTCTGGGTGCGCATTGTCGGATTTAGAATTTACCCTAAGGCTCCATAGTAGTTCCTTTTTGGGTTCATATTTAGAATCCTATAAGGCACTTCCCAAAAGGAACTACTATGGAGCCTCAGGGTAATCTAGAGCTGACAGAAGGATACCTTGTGAGTCCCGGCGTTCAGCGTAACATTGTGGTATATCCCTATCAGCTGACCCTACATCGTTACTCCAAACCCTCGGCCCTAAACAGACAATCCTGAACCCTACGACTCATCGAAATCTTTTAGTACACTTCGAGGAACCCTGAAAGGCCAAGTGTTGTTTTCAAGATCTGCGCCGACGGTGCATTACGTGTTTGGGCTGGGGATTTGGGGTTTAGAGTTTAGGGAGGGCAAGGCTTAGGGCTTCAGTAATGTTTGTGTTTAGGAGCTCGGGGTCAAGGATTTATAGTGTTTAGTTCAGGCTGATGGCTCGCATCGACTCATATCAGTGGCTTAACGCTGGTCTGCAGCCACGTGTAGACATCTCACTTCCGAATCCCACGTTGTCATGTGGACATGCATGTTGCCAGTTGCAATTCTTGGCTTCAGAAGTGAAAACCGAATTTAGGATGTCATATCGATGTCCGAAAAACCTGCGCCCTGGCCTCTTAATCTCACACCCTGAACACTCAGTCAGAACTGCCGGGCTCTCCATCGGAGTTCCCCAAAGAAGCGCCGCGACTGCCATGGCTGCGGCATCCGCAGCAGATGAAACGAGCTACGGCTTGTCTGAGCCGCGGGCTCTCCTTAGCTTCCTCGCAGATGCGGACATCCGTTTGGTGCGCCTGGAGTATCTCATCGAGCTTCTGGGTTCTTGTTCAGGGGTTTAACCCTTTAGTTGCTTTAAAGAAACAATCATAATTTTTCTACTACAGAACCCTGTTATGGTAACTTGAACTACATCCTTAAATCCGTGAAAAAGAAGCCAGGCTCTGTGCGTCCGGGAGGCCTTTGCCGCGCCGGCAAGAGGCGCAACAAGAGACGACGAGCCTGGGACTTCCAGCGCTCGTGGAGAGCAGTGAGCTCGAAGATGTGGGGTTTCTTAGTAGCTGAGTGGATACACTTTCCATTTTGTGGGATAATATTGCCCACTTTTAAAACCAAAAGTGTACAATTTTGGGGGGCTTATGAACTCAGCAGCTAAGGATTGACCCCGATACCGCCCACATGTCCGTGATGATCCGACACCCAAAGCCGAGACGAGTCAAAGTCCACCTCGTCTCCATCAGCCACATGTGGGAGAGCATGCAGCATCCGGATCCTTGGAGGTGCAGGGTTCGGGCAGCACCACTGTGTTCAGGGGTAGATCTGCGAGTGAGAGCGATAGTTTCGCACCAACTCCCTCCTGCTTGCCAGGTTCCAGCTGGAAGACATTGTGGAGGAGTTCCGTCCCCGACTGATGGATTCAGTCGTTTGGATCTTCTACGATTTCGTTTCCTTGCATCAATACACCAGAAATGAAGATCAGGAGCGGCTCTTCCGGCGGGCGCTTCGCGACATTTTTGTCCTGTACTCGCACGATGCCGTGGAAGTCTATCGGATCGAGAAGCTGACTCCGGAGAGCGTGCGAGAAAGGTGCGTGGCAGCCCACGGATCCAAGGTCTTCGTTTACTGGAAGGAAGATCAGAAGATGATGGATGTGCTTATCTCTGAGCTCAAGTGGAACGAGACGCCCTACGAGCAACGGGGCTGGTGCCGCTCCGAGAAGGAGTGGTCGGCCTTGAGGACTTGGATGAAGGGCGAAAACCCAGTGCCGCTTCCGCCAGACATGTTCCGGTCACGGATGCAGCAGATGAAATTTACACACAGGGAGGACTCAGAGAAGGTCTTCAAGCTCCAGGCGAAGGTCTTCCACCAGAAGGCCAAGTCCACGACCAAACTCCTCGTCGAAAACCTCGATACCGACAAAATCGCCGTTCTGGCTGCAGCTTTGCCGTTCTACACCGAGCTCAAAGAGCTCGTGGCCATGGGAAGCCCGGAGAATGTTTGGAAGGCGGCCTTGGCCGTGGTAGAATCCGGTGCCTGCAAGGTCGAGATCGCGTGCGAGAATGTGCGGGACGAGGATGCCATCGCTTTGACGACCGATTTGTCTGCGGAAGAGTGCAGGCACTTGGAACGGCTGCACCTGAAGTGCGAGAGGATTGGTGAGCTGGGTAGGAATGCCCTCCAGCAGATGATGGAGCACCGCAAGGCCAATCTGGTGATTAGCACCCCAGACCGCTATCGGGGTTATGTTGGGCAGGAGATCGAGCCGGCGATGGCTTCACCGGCTTGCGCGACCCTGCGCATCTTGATCTCCAAGCGTAGTCGAACCATTGGGGCCGCTTCCGCGGCCTTGCCTGCACAAGTGGATGCCAGTGCGGCCGGTCCGTTGGAATTGCAAGCGTCTGGAGGCGCCATCCCCACCACGCCTGCAGAGGCCGGTCAGGACAAGGCCAAGCAGTCCGTGAACATTCATTGCCTCGCAGGTTCCAGCTTAGAGTTGGAGGTCAATTCCAGCGAAACGGGGCGGGATGTAGCGGAACGAATCGCCAAGAGATGCGGCCATGCTACAGAGGCGCTTGTGCTGACATCTGGCGATCGTGTCATCGATGAGCACCAGCCGCTGCTGCGTCAAGTCCAGCACGAAGAGATCACATACGTTGTGCGGAAGCTTGGCGCGGGTCGAGTCGCGATGAGGTGGGAGCGCCTACTGGCGGAGAACGCTCTGTCTGATGTAGCTTTGAGCGAGACGATGTCACTCACCTGGAAATCCTCCCTACCTCTCAACCCACGCATTGAACTACCCAGCAGTCTGCAGAGTTTGACGTTTGGCAATGATTTCGACCAGAGCTTGGATGGCACCCAACTACCCAGCAGCCTGCAGAGTTTGACGTTTGGCAACAGTTTCAACCAGAGCTTGGATGGCACCCAACTACCCAGCAGCCTGCAGAGTTTGACGTTTGGCAATGATTTCGACCAGAGCTTGGATGGCACCCAACTACCCAGCAGCCTGCAGAGTTTGACGTTTGGCTACTTTTTCAACCGGAGCCTGGATGGTACCCAACTACCCAGCAGCTTGCAGAGTTTGACGTTTGGCAGCGGGTTCAACCAGAGCTTGGATGGCACCCAACTACCCAGCAGCCTGCAGAGTTTGACGTTTGGCGGCAGTGCTTTCAACCAGAGCTTGGATGGCACCCAACTACCCAGCAGCCTGCAGAGTTTGAGGTTTGGCACCAGTTTCAACCAGAGCTTGGATGGCACCCAACTACCCAGCAGCCTGCAGAGTTTGACGTTTGGCTTCAGATTCAACCAGAGCTTGGATGGCGTCCGACTACCCAGCAGCCTGCAGAGTTTGACGTTTGGCTACTTTTTCAACCGGAGCCTGGATGGTACCCAACTACCCAGCAGCTTGCAGAGTTTGACGTTTGGCAGCAGATTCAACCAGAGCTTGGATGGCATCCAACTACCCAGCAGCCTGCAGAGTTTGACGTTTGGCGATTCTTTCAACCAGAGCTTGGATGGCACCCACCTACCCAGCAGCCTGCAGAGTTTGACGTTTGGCAGTGCTTTCAACCAGAGCTTGGATGGCACCCAACTACCCAGCAGCCTGCAGAGTTTGACGTTGGGCTTCCGATTTAACCAGAGCTTGGATGGCGTCCGACTACCCTGCAGCCTGCAGAGTTTGACGTTTGGCAATGATTTCGACCAGAGCTTGGATGGCACCCAACTACCCAGCAGCCTGCAGAGTTTGAGGTTGGGCGGCAGATTCAACCAGAGCTTGGATGGCATCCAACTACCCAGCAGCCTGCAGAGTTTGACGTTTGGCGATTCTTTCAACCAGAGCTTGGATGGCACCCACCTACCCAGCAGCCTGCAGAGTTTGACGTTTGGCACCAGTGAGCTTGGATGGCACCCAACTACCCAGCAGCCTGCAGAGTTTGACGTTTGGCCGCAGATTCAACCAGAGCTTGGATGGCGTCCAACTACCCAGCAGCCTGCAGAGTTTGACGTTTGGCAATGATTTCGACCAGAGCTTGGATGGCGTCCGACTACCCAGCAGCCTGCAGAGTTTGACGTTTGACTTCAGATTCAACCAGAGCTTGGATGGCATCCGACTACCCAGCAGCCTGCAGAGTTTGACGTTTGGCGATTCTTTCAACCAGAGCTTGGATGGCACCCACCTACCCAGCAGCCTGCAGAGTTTGACGTTTGGCACCAGTTTCAACCAGAGCTTGGATGGCACCCAACTACCCAGCAGCCTGCAGAGTTTGACGTTTGGCCGCAGATTCAACCAGAGCTTGGATGGCGTCCAACTACCCAGCAGCCTGCAGAGTTTGACGTTTGGCAATGATTTCGACCAGAGCTTGGATGGCGTCCGACTACCCAGCAGCCTGCAGAGTTTGACGTTTGACTTCAGATTCAACCAGAGCTTGGATGGCATCCGACTACCCAGCAGCCTGCAGAGTTTGACGTTTGGCGATTCTTTCAACCAGAGCTTGGATGGCACCCACCTACCCAGCAGCCTGCAGAGTTTGACGTTTGGCGATTCTTTCAACCAGAGCTTGGATGGCACCCACCTACCCAGCAGCCTGCAGAGTTTGAGGTTGGGCGGCAGATTCAACCAGAGCTTGGATGGCACCCAACTACCCAGCAGCCTGCAGAGTTTGACGTTTGGCTTCAGATTCAACCAGAGCTTGGATGGCGTCCGACTACCCAGCAGCCTGCAGAGTTTGACGTTTGGCAATGATTTCAACCAGAGCTTGGATGGCGTCCAACTACCCAGCAGCCTGCAGAGTTTGACGTTTGGCAATGATTTTGACCAGAGTTTGGATGGCACCCAACTACCCAGCAGTCTGCGGATCTTCAATTCACGATGTTTTTGTGTACGCACATGGTGAGCAGTGATGTGTTAGACAAGTTTCGCACACGTCTCGTGAGGAAAATATTCGGCCAAACACGCAACCTTGATTTGGGTTTAGCGTTTTAAAGCCATTTAGATTGTACAATTGACATCCATGTTTAATTACCTGAAAGCACTGGGGCAAGCTGCTGATTTCTTCAAGTCGCAGTCGGGATTAACGCCTGCCTGAGCCCTGAACCACATGGGGTCTTCTGAATCCGCCCCTACTACATCATGATTATGTTATTGCTGTTGTGGGGGTTTACGGTTCAAGATATCGTGCTTCCAGTTTAAGATCTAGGGTATCTGGCGAAAGACGTAGGGTTTCCGGATTTAACGTGCAGGGCTTTCTACAATTGAAGGTCTAGGGCTTAGTATCTTTGGCACTCCAAAGCCCAAAATCCGAAAGCCCTAACCTTCAACCAGAAAACCAAGAAAAATCATTCGCAAAGCCCTGAAGCCCTCAAACCCTCAACCGTAAGCCGTGGGGTTATAGGCCCAGGGTTTCTTAATCTGGTTCCTACATGAACTTAGACCTGTAAGGCCTTGATCATATGTTGTAGATTGTTGTGTTTTCGACGTTTTGAGATTATCGGGTTGCATATCCTTGAAGAAACTGCAGTCGAAGCCAAAACCGCGCTAGGGTCCGAAAAAATCGTAACGGTATCCCCGTCATTATCTCCATATGAGCATGACAAACTTTTCCCCAAACCCTCGCCTTCAGACTACTGAAAAGGCCCCTACGTAGTTGTTCGAGGAGGTCAGTGCCATCCGGCTGAGGCAAAGTACCCGGCACCAAACACCCTGACCTGTAGACAGGATACATGGTTTCTCAGCAGTACAGTGAGCACCTTCAACCTGCTTGGGGTACTATCTCTGTATACTCCACGCATCAAGCTTTAGTTCTCCTAGCAACTTGGAAAAGCAAAATTCAGGATTTCGAGACTAGTACTAGTTTGAGGTTTTCTGGGGTCTATAGGCTGCATAGTTTGGGGTTCAGAGGTTCGGAATCGTTTGGCGCTTGGGCTTTGGGCCTTCAGGGTCTTCGCGTTTGTTTGTTGAGGGTCTTCTTCTAAGGTGCCGCTGTCTCAGCCGTACTTCACCTACACCATCCTGCTGATTTGGACCATGACGCGACACGGCTGCTTCTCCAGTCCTCCGTCCACAGACCGGAGCCTGGTAGTCTCCTTTAGGGCCTTGAGGGTTTAGATGTTTGAAGGCTGCAGGCACCTAGCTTCACCTCCAGGGTAGTCATTTGCCATAGGTTTTAGATGAGGATTCAGGGGATGGCAACCTTCACCTGAATATCTGAAGCTTGAGATCCCGATCCCGGAGCCCGACGCCTGGAACCGTGGTGGACTCTCCGGAAAAGAGGTTACCTGAATGTTGCACCTAGCCGGGAGCGGGGATCCTTTGCAGCACTGGTGGCTTCAGCTTGCAGGCCAAGTAGCTCCTAACCGTCGAAATCCTGCCGTAGAGCTTGATATCGTTTCTGAGTGCTGGCCCACAGGCCCGAAATCTTGGGTGTGGGTTCTTTAAGTCCCTTATATGGTTTGTTCAGGGTTATGGGTATGGGTTCTGTAAGGCTTCTGTCAGGGTTGATTCTGAGGCGTAGGCTTCAAACATCCACATGAGGTGTCTTGCCGAGATTCGCCGAGCCGTGAAGCTGCTTTATGCTACTTATTAGCTGAGTGAGTATGCTTTACCTTTTCGAGATAACATTATTATCCCCTATAATCAGAACTGAAAGTTTACACTTTTCTGGGCTTATGAACTCAACAACCAAGGCTACACTGATCTCGATTGCGACGGCGCCTAAGCTGAGTTTAAAGCCCCCCCCACTGGCTCGTCCGTGCTAGCCACTTGCAAGTGCCCGCCGGTGCACAGGCAAAGGTTTCAAGGCCTGTAAGGGGTACTACAGATGTCTGGATATAGGGAGTACTACCACATTTTTTCGGGTTCCTTCCTGCATTCAGGTAAAATACCCCAAAGCCCTGTTGGAACAACTATTGCGGCCCCCCTTTAGGTGGGTAAGCCTTCTGTGATCGCATAGCTCCAGAGACATTAGTTTTTCTGGCTGAGTCTCAGCCTCATGTAAGGATACCTGACAGCAGAACTTGAAATTCGAGGTCCTTCGTTGCGACCCCTTGCCGTACGGATCTCGATGTCTAGAGCAGCAAGATCCCAAGCATGTAATTAGGTACATTGTAGGTAAGTTGTACATGCTGAACAGTTTGTTGTTTATTTCGGTACACAGCTGCAAGCCTGAAGCCCACAAAACCCGACCCCAAGCCCTCTGACCCATCAGACAGGCTTTTCTGAAACCTAAACCATTGGTTAAGCCCTAAACCCCTAAAGCCCTAAACCCTGAAACCCTAAAACCCTAAACCCTAAAACCCTAAACCCTAAACCCTCTCTGAAACCTTCAACTTTCAACCTTGAGACGGTTTAAGGAAGTGTTTTCCCCTCAGCCAGGTCGGGTCCGTCGAAGAAGTCTTGGAAGACTCTCGAACCCATTTGTCAGCTTCTGTTGGATTTGCCTTTAAGAACACTCTCCGAGTACAGAGGTCGCCTGTAGCCTGTACTCGTCGACCTCGGAAATCCTATATCCTCCTGAAACCTCACGCTAATTACGGTTCATGGTCCCAAGGTCTTGGCGGGTCTGAAGGTATTGAGGATATAGGGGTTAGGGTTTTCAGGGCTCCAAGCTTTCGGGATTTAGGGTTTAGGGTTCAGGGTTCAGGGCTGGCGACGTTCTCATGACGTTCCTTCCTTGAGGTTTGGGACTGAAGCAAGGGGCTTCTTGGGCGAAGCATTCCCTAAACTTAGGCCTCAGACCCTTAACTTAAGCATAGACCAATGGTACCGAAATGCCGGCCATAACCCTGAACCTTATAAGCCTACATGAGGAGCCATAACCATACACCTGTCAAGCACATATTCTGCAGTTTCTCATGTGGCACTTCGTCAGAGGTCGAAGTTCTGTGCTTTGTTGGTTGAGAGTTTGGAGTTTAGGGTTCGGGGTTTAAGCACGTTGGGTTTGTGGGTGCGGTTCAGATCCAGGACTGCAGCTTTTTGGTAGGCGGGGGAGGGATGGGAAGGAGTTCCAGGGTTTAGGGACGCCTCAGGGTCGTCGACCAAAGCAGAGACTGAAGCCTTCCCCAAGACCTGCCTGAAAGCTAAGGAGACGACCATCAAAGGGATGACCAGAGGCAGACTCAGCCCAGGGAGCTTAGAGGGGGCCTGAATACTGGGGGTAGAGTACTATATATATATATATATGTGTATAATATATATATATATATATACTATATTATATCACCCCAAACTGCAACCAACCCAATGGAGAAGTATTGGCAGCTTTTGAGGCTTCTATTGCAAAGCCGGGGCAGTTGGGGCTCCAGCTCCGCCTCAAAGAGAGGTTCAAAACCTCACAGGGTCCCACGAAGTTCTGAAGATTCCTGAAGAGATTCCCCCTGGCCCGAAGCACCAAAACCCTAGACCCCAAAGCTGGCAAACCCTAAATGCCACCCGATCGAGCATTCTGCAAGACCCCTCCAAGGAGGGAAGCTCAAGGTTGGTACACGAGAGGGCTTCTCTGCTTAGAGTGTCTAGAGCCGAGGGATCCCCCCAGACGTAAACCCGAAACCTGAAAGACCAGGAGACCCCAACTCCGCTTCAGTAAAGCCCTTATGACGGCTATGAGAAGATTTCCAGAGCCTCTATACTACACCCGGACTCCAAATCCGGGACCCCGAACGCTCTGCGCACCCAAGAACTTACCTTTGGTCAGTAGGGAATGGAGGAGTGGAGTACGATTATAAATACGAGTACTACCATTCTTCCACTCCCTACTAACAAAAGGTAAGAAAGCCTAAATCCCGAACCTCGATGCGCAGAGGCATGAAGGCCTTCATCGGCATCTTCTGCTTCCTACCCCGCATCGCCTCGACGATGTTACTGAACTTTCTCGGCTGCCGCTGGCTCCTCTCTACAGTGAGCCTACAGGAGCTTGCTTAGGGCCGATCGACGGGCCCAATAATTCGGCACTTGGGATAAGGAGAACAGTTTTGTGGAGCAGTATTTTGGGAGAGTATGCTAATACCTATAAACCCTTGGCTCCAACGTAGTCAATAGTTTATGACATTGGACCCTTCATCAGGAGAGTTTAGCGCTAGACTGTTGTGAGAAGTTCTCGTGATTCTTTTCGTGAACCTTGTCGGAGGGTCTTAGGAATTGGGTATGGGGTCTACTGTATGGTAAACAAAACGGTAACCTAGCCTAAACACTTCAGAGCCTGCAACTTCAAGCCCCAACATTGTACCTGAACCCGAAATCCGCAAACCACATCCCTGAATCCTGAACCCTCTATAATCTTCTAAGCTAATCCCGAAGCCCTTGGAATCCCTGAATCCTACAATCTATGAACCTTTTGGCTCTCAACCCATAGGCTTCTTGTTGAGCAGGTGGGCTTGCTTTTAAGGGTTCGGGTGGAGGATCAATTGGAGGATTTTTCAATGTTTTTAATCGTTTACACCAGTGTTTCCATGCGGGGTGTTCTGCTTCGATTGCGGTAAATGTTGGAACCCTGATCCCGAGATCCTACAGACCCTCAAGTTTCTAGTCCCAACACAGTCCCTACCACGCCCAAAAATCACTAACCCCGCAACCCTAAAGCCCTAACCCACTCGCACCATTCAGCTCCCGGCCCACAGATTTCAGGACCTCTTCCTCAACTCCTTGGCTCTGGAATTCATGGACCCTTGGCCTCTGGTTTCTTTCGAACCCTGAACTTGAAACCTCAGATGCGTTGTTCGAATCTGCTTTCTAAGGAGGTATGGATTGTATCGTTAGTTTGACTAGTGATGAAACTGCGACGCTCCCTTGGTTGACGGTTTTGCGGTCTCAAAGGATCAAGGGAAGCGAAGCAAGCGAACATGATCGAGGGGGTGGAGTCTAGAGGGCGTTGAGGTTTAGGGCTTAGGCTAGATGCCCCTTTATTTGGGGACCATACACCCCTCTTTGAGGGTGCAAGGAAGGTCCTGCATCATTTCACGGATTCATCTGTTAGCCAAAATTCGGGGTGCGGCTAGTCTCTCTGCATCTATATACATCAGAAGCTATGGGTTTGGGGTTTAGGGTTTTAGGGCTTCAAGGGTTTAGGTTTTATGAGGTCCAGCGTAATATACCACCTTGACTGTACCGTCGACCTCATCCCCGCGGGCGCCCGATCTCAACGCCCAATCCCAGAGCATTCCACCCAAGCGGACTGAATGCAAAAGTGAGATTCGCCGAAGTCAAAGTAGGGTTTTGTAGCAACTTCTTATCATCAAATACCTACACCGTAGCTACTGTAGTGGCCTGGACCCTCGTCCTCCCACGGGAGGCTAAAGCCACGCCTAAAAGCCCTGAGGTTGTTCTGCCCGAGCTGCTTTACAACACCTTCGCGACAGATCGAGGGCAGAAGTGGCTTGGATCCCTTATAGTACCCTTATAGATCCCTTATAGTAACCCTTATGGATCCAGCTTTTAGGTCTCCGCGAAGTTTGGGGCTGCGAGTTTCGGGGTTTCGCGGTTTGTCTCAGTTTGGTGGCCACAGCTGCTTCCAGCACTTCGTCGTGTTTCCGCTTCTGTCGACATTAGTTCTTAATGAACAGACATGAACCGAAGGATTCGCGGGCGGTTTTGCTGCAGCGGATTCTTGTGGAGTCTTGAAAACACCGTGAATCTGAGGTTGACGCAGGCAACCATGCTCGTGTCTCGGCAGCTTGCGAAGTGACGCCTTTGTGCAGGGTTTCCGTGAGCTCTGAACAAGCGGCTATTTTGTCTTCTCTTGAGCGTTTCTTTTCGGTATTTCCTGGCAACCGGTACAGGACCCAGACAGCCCACGATCCAGCCATTTAAAGACTGGGTGAGTGCATGGCCTTCGGGAAAGCAGACGGGAGTTTCCGAAATTAGGGGTACCTCCTTTTGGAGTCTTTATGTATAGTAAGGATCCTACTACTTAGGGTACTATATTAGGGTCCCCTGTTTTTGGAAACCCCCAGATTAGGTAACCGGTAGATATAGTACCCTAAATAGTAGGAGCCTCATTTTAGGGACCCCAAAGTAAGGTACCCCTATTTTCCGGAAACTCCCAGATTCGATAACCGCCCTAAACCCTAAACCCTAAACCCTAAGATAACCGGTAGCCCGGAACCAAAAAAAAGCTTCTTGGCTCTCGAGGCTGGTGATAATGCACGGGCGCCGCTCTGACTTTGTTGATTATTTGGATGGTGAGAACTACGGGGCTTGGGGTTAGAATTTGAGAGTTTAGGGTTTAGGGATTATTTGGATGGTGAGAACTATGGGGCTTAAGGTTTAAGAGTCTAGGGTTTGAAGTTTGAAGGTAAGGTTTAACGCTTAGGGGCCGTGGTTTAGGGTCGGGGTTCAGGGTTCGGGGAACTGTTATGGGGCACTTCGGCTTCAAGAAATCCAAAATGCACGCAATCCTGGAGCCCTGAGCAAGCATCGCTGGCTAGCAGCTCAAGGGTTGGACTCTTCGATCTTTTCGAAGCGTAAAGAAGAGGTTTCAGGGTTTAGGTCTTCGGGTTTAGGATTTCGGGTTTGGGGTTTGGGGTAATTATCTGGTTTAGTTAGTGAACAAATACCTATATTGTTCCTTAACATTACTTCCTGTAATCATACTGCAACACTCCCCAAAATCCTGAAGGCCCCTACGTTCGGTTTGAAGTTTTGGAACGGTTGCCACGCCCCAAACCACAAACACTAACTCGATGAGAGCTCAGTTCAGCGAGTAGCAATTAACCGCGTTGGGGGTCTAGGGGTTCAGGGTTTATAGGGGTGTGAGGGCTTAGGGTTTGAGAAAGTTTGGGGTTGAGGGTGAGTACGATACCTCGGATTTGGCCCCTTGGTCCCCCTTACGAAACTCGACACGTAAGAAAACCTGCACACACATCCCAGGCCCAAAGGAACCAGCTTGCTGGTTGCGACGATGTGGGTCGCTCAGCTACAAAACGATTGTAAGCCCCCCGCGAAAATCGGGGAGGTAAAGTGGTCCCTACACCTTAAACTAGGCAACTCTAAACCCCAACCCTATGATCTGAACCCTAAATCTTTATTCAGGCTCCTGGTAAGGAGTGGTTTCTGCTCGGCCCCTTAGTCTGTGAGCCAAAACATCATAATTAAGCCCTGACACTCCGAATCCCAGCTACCACCCAAGAATCTCAGGGCAGAAGACTTCGCGCTTTCGGCTCCAAGGATTCAGCGTTTTGGGGTTGAGGCTTGAAGATTCCGAGGAGCCCTAAACCCTAAACCCCAATCCCCGAAACCACTTTCTGGATCTCGGCGAACGAAATACTGTAGGGACGTCTAAACAAACAACAAACCCGAAACCCTCATCTGTGAGATCAGTAGCCACAACCTCGACAGCTCCGAGCAGAACGCTCCCATCCCTTTGCAGGTGTTTAGGGTTCTGGGCTTCGAGTTGAAGGGTGTTTTAGGTGTTTAGGGTTTCGGCTTTAAGGATTTAGGGGTTTAGGGCTGAGGGAAAATATCCTGGTTGCTTCGGAGCCTGACTGGTAACCTCCTGATGACCTCAGCTCCCGAATCCGTGTCTACAGCCGCTGGTGCCACAATACCCCTGTGCATCCTGATCATAATCTTGGTCCCATATATTCTATGTAAATATCACCATAGTCTTAGTTAGCATGAAGTACCACACCCTGACCCTTGCCTTCACGGATTCGGAAGGCTAGAGCGGGGTATTTAGGTCTTGACTGGAACTTTTTTCAGGGTTTCATTGTTTAGAGATTTAGGTATACAGGTTCATGGGTTTAAGGGTTTAGGGGTTTTGGGTTTTTGGGGAATCTATGGAAGCCATTGGAAGCCTTGATCCGAAAGAAAGGTTTCAACAGCGCTCATCTGGGTCTACGTCTACATGGTGTATGTCCAGGCCGTCCTACCAGGCCGCACCGCAGTTGTTCCCCGGAGGGTATTATATATATATATATATATATAATATATATTATGGTAGCTCTCTATAAACTATATGGTCGCTTCTTCCCGGTCCAAAGTTGTATAGTTGTATGTATGTATGCATGCATGCATGTGCGGGTGTATATATGTTTGTATATGTCTGTCTGTCTGTGCATACATCATGTGTATTTATATATATATATATACCGGCAACCCCACCGGCCACATCTGTGTATTGGGTTTAGGTTTTAGGGGTTTAGGGTTTAATTAGGCTTCAAGGCCTTCGGGTTACACGGTTGCACCGCATCTTACACGGGTCGACGGGGCTTTGCTTGTGGCTAACCCAAGGGTGAGTTAATATAGGGGCCTTAAGAATTACCAATACTATTTGGGGGTCTCCTTGTTATGATTTAAGGGCACCCTATTCTAATTGTTAAGGCCCCTGTATTAGGGGTTCGAGTTTCGAAAGCGCCCCCCCCCCCCCCCCCCCCAATCTGATCAAAGCAGGCAGGTCCATTAGGCAGTTACTTCGGGGTCATCCTGATAGTCGTTGGTTGCATAGTCCCGAGGTGTTTAGTTTTTTTGTTTTTAGGGTTTGATGGCATTGGGTTTGGGGTTTTAGGGTTTAGGGTTTTATGGCATGGGGTTTGGGGTTTTAGGGTTTAGGGCTTTATGGCATTGGGTTTGGGGTTCTAGGGTTTAGAGCAAGAGCCTAGCTCATTACTTGTCCATAAATCAAGAATACGGCAACTTCTCACGTCGTACTGGTACTTTGCTAGACCCGGGACCTCAGTATCTCCCCGTGCCGATGTAATTGTTGGTGATGTTGGATAATATTGTGTCACAAGCAACATTCTGCTTAGTTGGGATTCCTTCTTGGGTTGTTGTGCCTAAGCTTTCAGAGATGTTCAGACAAGCTTTAGCTGCCTGCACACCCGGCCACGTCATGGTCGACCGATAGCAGATGCACAGTCACAGGGTTCGAACCGCTCGTGACTTCTATGAGGCACAACTTTCGTCGCTGAAGTGCAACAGTGCTAAGCTGCAAACTGCGACAGCGAAGCCCTACACTAAACTCGATGGTTTCGGATCGTGAATGGCTGAAGCTATACCTGAACACTGGGACTCCCAACCGGAAACCTGAACCCCAAACCCCAAGACAGGCTACAACTGGGACGTGCGACCGGTTTGTCGCGCTAATCCCGAAGTGTTCGAACAAGAGGGCTTCTAGAGGCGGGCTGCGACAATCGAGATTGGGGTGGTGGGCTTAGGGTTTAGGCTTTCGGCTAGGCTGGTGGCTTGTTGGGTTGTGTATGGGTTGTCGATTTCGTGGTGTGGGTTTGAGGAGATTAGATTTTTTTCTTTGAGGGGGGGGGGGGCGGGGGGCGGGGGGCGGGGGGCGGGGGTTGGGTTTGAGTTCTTGGGCTTGGCATGAGTTTGGGGGCTTTATAGGAGTTGCCCGAATTTTGAGCATGTGGCGAGTCGTAGAGATCGGCACGAGGTTCTTATCGCAGAGTATAGGGGCCTTAATATTGCAGTTATCAGCAAGGTCTTCGAGCACGTGAAAGAATAGTTATGTACGAACTACCAAGGCTACCATTAAATATGACAGATTACTCAGACCGTTGATTGCGCCCCGTCAGACTCTCAGCATGCCCGATGCGAGATTGTTCGGGGCTTGCAAGTTCGGATTTAGACTTCAGGCTCTGAGCGGTTCAGGTCTTAGGATAAAGGCCTTTGGAAATGATATAGGCTTCGGCACATATATATATATATATGTGGCATATCAGCACAGAGGTTAGAGTTCTGCGCATTCGAGGTGATCCAGTTGTTGGAACAGGATGCACCAGAGATCACAGCATGCAGAAGCTGTAGCCATCAGATGCGCATGAGTCAGGGCCGTATAGATGGTTCTGTACATGATGCTGGGACTCGGAGTTTCCCCGCCTTAATCGACTGTTCAGAAATATGTCCGGTGACAAGGATGATGCCATACTCTGGATGCTGCCTCCGCAGATCAATATCTACAAAACCCCAAACCCCAACACCGCCAAAACCCAAAAGAAAACCTGCAGCACCCTGTGATGTAAGTGCTATTGGGTGGGTCCTGATTTGGCGTAAGCCTGGGCCTCCGACCTTCGAAATGCAGAGAAGGGGCCATTGCACTTTACGGCATCAAACGGGGTAGTTCTCTAAATTAGTGTCCGCTTCTTGGGTCCCCAAAGAAGTATGGCACCCGTATTAGGCTTAGGGACCCTTATTTAGAGGATTACCCAAATCCCAGCAACAGGAAACGCCTCAAGTCTGAACAGCCAGAAAAACTCGGAACGACTCCTCACACATGCTGGTAGGGTTGAATCCCTTGTGGAATTCTTAAGGGAGTGGGTTTCAAGGGGAGTGTATAACCCAATAATCCCCTATTCTCCCTACTACTCCCGAAATCTCCCTCGCCTCTCTGAGGCTTCCTTAAGGTTTCCTGAGGTTCCCTGGTACCCTCAGCCCTCCTGGATCCCAATAAATTCAGAAGGGCTACCCTTTGCCGGGTCGTTCCACTTATTGGTCGGTACGGCGTAATAGAAGAAATATATCAAATTACAAGTTTACCAGAAAACAACCTAAAACCCCTAAATATTCAGGCCCCATGAGGATCTTTCGCTTGGGTTCAAGGGATTGCAGGACTTGCTGCGGACCAGGGTTGCAGAGTTAAGGTGTATGGGGTTGGAGATTGGGGTGTGGGAGTTTCGTTTGGGAGCATTTTCGTGCCAAACGTCAGTCCCGGAACTCAAACCTCTAATTAAATCATGAAGCCTGAAGCTTAAATCCGAAATCTAAACCTTGAAGTCTAAATCCTCAACGACGGGTCTGGCAGGTTCCAAGCTTCAACCGACACGTCGGACGTGATGATAGCCAGGGTGCTGCGGCTAGGGAAGAGCTTAAGAGCTTCCGACCTCGCGCTAGGCCTGGCATCTTCGCAGTTCTCCACGGTTTAGCGTTTAGGGTTTAGAGTTTTGGGTTCAAGACCATACGAAGGGCACGAGGTCGCCGGCCCACCCATCGCATTGGCCGCCAGTTTCCGTGACGGTGCAGATGTAATCATCTGGCTCACCAAGAGGTGGGGACATACATGAGTTCGGAGGCATGTCATTTGTGCATGGGACAACCCTCCACCCTGCAAGCGGTTCTGCATGATTCACATCAGGGTTTTTCGACTGAAGTGTGGAACATCCCCCTGAGCCCTAAACCCTTGCCCAAAACCCAAACGCCTTTTCCGTCTAGCTCTTAGTATCGTGGATTAGGCTTCGGGGTTTCCTGCGGCAAAGCCCGGTGAAACTGCCAAAGCTTCCCTCGACCTTCGATCTCGCTGGTGTCCCTAAGCCCGGAAAAACTACGGTTGATGATATAAATCCTGCATTGCCTGAAGGACCCGAAAAAATGGAAATTATGGCATATTCCTTCTTGTGGGTAATGCAGGATTTCTATCATCAACAGTAGGTCTCCGAGGAGTGCCCTTTCGCCCCTTTCACGTTGGGGGTTTCTCTAAAACCAAACAGAAGTAAACTGGGCACCATATGAAGAGGTTACTGGTGAACTAGAGCAAGACCCTAAACCCTAAACCGTAATATGACACTGAAACCTAACATGGCTTTCTGGGTCACAAATCGTGCAAATTAGAAGAGGGAGGACGAGGGCCCCCAGACAATGAGAGCAGGATACTTTGGAGGGGGTAACTTGGTTGTAACGATGCAGGCTTCAGTATTTCGTGGAATCTGACGATCTCCAAGAAATTTTCCAGTGCATGCAAATCGTATCATCGAAGGTTGAGACCGCATCCTTTTTTCGACGTATCAGTTGTGCTCAGTTGCCCCGGTTACTAGAGCCGGGCTTCCGCCAAGTGGAGGCAAAAAAAGATCCTTGTCCACGACCTACTTCGGGATAGTTTGGGGTAGCATGCGCTTTGCCTCGTGTCAAGGTCTGGCTTCTTTTTGTGCGTTTCACACACGGTGCGATCCCAAACCTAGGATCTTGCACCTCTCTCAGGGCTTCGTGCATTCAGGGTTTTCTGGATTCGGACCGGTTGACTTAGGGGTACTTAGAAATATTGTTTAAATTTTTGTTATTATAATCCCAAGAAACAGCTGAAATTTTGTTTTGCTAGGGTTCTAAGTTCAGTATAGTTGAGTTGCTTGCACACAAGAGATCGGAGCTTCAAAGGCTGCGAGGACGAAGGATCTCAGTATCTGGTTCCTAATGAAAGAGCAGAGCTCAAGACTCAAGATCATAAATGCAGATCCACAGCTGAGCGAGGCTTGAAAGCAGAGCTGGTTTGTGGTTGGAGTTTGAGAAGAAGGTTTAAAGCTTGTTCTAAGACTTTGTGCTTTACGGTTTTAGAGTTTCAGGTGTAGGGTTTAGGGCTATTGAGTTTCAGTATTTCGGAGTTTCAGCTGCGCATGTAAGGCACCAGAAGCCTTCTCACAATTCGGGGGTTCTTGCCGAATACAGGGATCTGCTATGTTCCCGGCAGTGGGGGGCACCCTTGCTTCGTGGAAAGGATGGAAGTTAGGGCAGTTCCATTGCTGTTTGCAATACGGGCAGAAAAGGGCAAAGGGAGGAGAGGGGCCTCGAAACACAGGTTTGGGTTGCGTTCCTTGGGGGCTGTCTCGCTGGCCCTTTCGGGTGGTTTCGGCGTTGGTGAACTGTATCTCTGACCCAGGATTGGACCTCAAGACTATACCTGAACTCAACCAGTTCCGCAATCTGGTGTCGCCTTTTCAAGCGTAGCTTCTGCCTTCTGGGGCTGACTTATCAGATGCCGGGCATGAGTGTTTAACCTCACACCCTTGTCTTCAAAACCGAGCCCTAGCTGGGAAGCCTGACACCCGAACTTCAAATGAATCCTGAATAGAACTCTAGGCCCCAATCAGCCATGAAACTCACAGAGCACTACACCCCAAGTTCAACCGATAAGAGATACGGGTACCATGGTGAGATCTTCAAAGCGCAAGCCAAGCCCAGGACCTAAACCATGAGCCCAGGAGCTTCAAAAGCCTTTACCTCACGCCAAAGGGCCTTAGGGGTACTAAATGTAGAACTGGCTAAACCAATACAAGGAACTGCAATGGAGATTATAGGTAGGGGCTGCAATGGCTAAGCATTTTGTAGTAGAGTCCGGTGGCTCTCGACCTTTTCCCTTACTCAAAGGGGAAAAGGAGGGACCCTTGATAAGGACCCCTAGGTATATACACTTAATATAGCCATTATATACCCATTATATAGCCCATTATTTGGTAGGGGTCCCCATTAAGGGTCCCTCCTTTTCCCCTTTGACTTAAAGCAGCACGGGGGACCCGACGGGCTAGAGGCTGTTTAATACAGTAGGGTTATAATTGGGGTAACTCCATTTAGGGTAGGGTTTAGGGTTTAGGGTTTAGGGTTTAGGGTACTTTTAGCCTACTTACTAAGTCCCCTGCCCTTCCAAGTAGAGGCTGTTTAATACAGAAACCGGAGCCAGCCATGCCGTGGAGAAATGTCCCAGCATGAGCCTCTTGGCTAACGGAACAGACTCAAACCCTAAACCGCATCAAACCCTAAACCCTATCAAACCCTAAACCATGAAGCCGAAACTGTGCCGTGCTCGAGATCTTCGTACAAATTTTTGCTTTCAAGAAACGTACAAAAACTGCGATGTTTGAGGGGCCGGTGGTTTTTTGAATATCAATTCCGTTTGTTTGGTTTCAACACTCTAAGATTCTGAGCCTAAGCCGTTTCGGGCGTCTAGCTTTCGAGGCATACGTCGAGGCCATCGAAGTTCGCTTTGTCTCGGGGTGTCACCAGGGCTCACAGGTTTGAAGCTTGATTCTGAGGGCGAGGTTGAAGGAATTCCATTCCCCCAATTACATAAACCCTAAGCCGCTGTAGCCCCTATAGCCCTCAACCCTAAACCCTAGAGCACTTTAAAAACAAACTAGACCAGGTGATGTTAGTGCTACAGCCTTGCAGAACTCTCTCAACCCCAGAGGCCTCAACATTGCATGCTGATCCCACGTAATATGAGCACCTGCAGAAAGGGTCCAGGGCAGGGTTTACAGTAGGTTGAGCGGCCTTTTAGGGCTTTTACTAGTCGTCCTGAGGATTCCTTAATAGATGCCTTCGCTATTCGTATGATTTATGCCGCTGATACTTAACTTGTAGTAAACCTTGTAGAACACTCAACGGAACCATATTGTAATGGTTAAGGCCGTTGGAGTGCCCGAACCATGACATATCGAGAATGACAGCGAACCAAGCCGGGGTTAGGGTTCCACATCAACAAAGTTCCAACCCTAAGCCCCAAACCCAAATCCTGTCACCAATATAGCGCTCTGACACAATTGGCAACAGTGTTCCATTAAGAACCTTTTGAAACGATGGCCTAGTCTAGTACCAGTATAGTACAATACACCCAAAGCCCCTTCATTTCTCATCATTCAGGACCCGAAATTAGGCCTCGAGCCTAGCTCAGGTAGAGGTATGGCCATCTATGGGCCTCCCCTCACTCCGGCGCAGGCCCTCCTTGAAGGGCTTTGGGATTCACGGAGTGTAAACGCTGCTCCGTTGAGTTCCTAGTGTTTACTGCAGGGTTTAGGGGTTTCAATTTCCTAGTGTTTACTGTAGGGTTTAGGGTTTTCAATAAAGGGGCCGATCGACTTGGTACTTATTCAGGCTCCTATGGTAGGATTGTTAGTTTGGTGGCTTGGGTTTCTTGTTCAGTTTCTGTGCGAGACAGGGTCTCTTGTCAGAACCCCAAAACAGAAGGAAGGAGGTGTTTTCTGAAACTGACGCACTACCGAAGCCTTCATGATTATCATGACTGTTGGTTCGGGCTCCTGATCATAATCATCACAGCTTCAAGGTGGAGGACAACACGACGTTCCACGATGTCTTTGTCCATCAGAGGTGGTGGAAAGCGTGGTGCCAAGTCAGATGTCTCAGGAACTGGCAACACGAAGGAGGAACGCATTTCAAGCACCAAGGAAACTTTGAATGCCGTCCATTTGCGTGTTCAGACAAAGTCTGGCGCAAGTCCTGCCATTCACAAGACGGCGCTCGCCTTCAATGAGGTCGTCAAGGGCAGTGACAGCAACCCCAACAACGTCATTACCGCACTCATCAAGGACTATGACAAGACGAAGATGATGAAGTTGATTAAGGCATTGGGAAGCAGTTTAGAACCGAATAAAATGTAGTATAGTTTGACAGTTTGGTATAGTTCGATGCAAAATAGAGCATAATATAATAGTTTCGAGTTTAGGGTTAAGAGTTCAGAGTTCAGTGATTAGAGTTTAGGGTTGAGGGGCTAGACGTTAAAGGTTCAGGGGCTGAGGGGCTTATCTTCAGCCCGGCGAAGATGTTTCGTGGCATTTGCCGAGTGCCAACCGCTGGTGGCAAGCTGCTCAAGCTGGCCGCCACCTTACCCATAGGCTTTATTGTAGTTCCTTTATGGGGTTCATATTTAGAGTCCTATAAGGTAACGCGAAAAAGGAGCTACTATGGAGCCGATGGGTAGAGCATACTCGAAAAGCACGTGCGTTCTGTTTTGTTGTATCACCTGGGAGAAGTACAGCATGTTGCGAAATTGCATTACATTTGCCAAGGTGAACATGGTTTGGGACTTTTTTAGGGTTTCAGGGGTTAGAACTTATTTAGGGCTTTGGGTTTAGGACTTCTTTTGGTTCTTGGGTTTCGGCTTTAGGGTTTAGGACTGCTTTCATGGTTTAGGGTTTAGGGCCTGCCCTTGCAGGCCCAGCAGAACTATGCCTGGGCGAGCGACATGTACCTTAACCAGGACCCCTGGCTGGCAAGATTTTCGAGCTCTGGCTTGGTCAGGGTTCAGGGTTTAGGTTGGCATCCTTGCACTTGGAGGACCATGGGACTTAGCAAGTGAAGCTACAAGTAGCCTATTTGGGGCCATAAGCAGCCATAAGTACAGTATGCACTATCTATAACCCCAGCAACACATGATCCTAAAGCGATGTATCACTAGGGCCAAACACTGAAGAAGGCCCCCCAACCACTCTTTTCGTAGAGAGTTTGCATGAGAAATGGGCTTGCTAGGGCCGTGGTAGGGGACCAGAGCCTAAACCTTGCAAGGTAGACCGGATGTCTGGCTCGAACATACTTGGGCATAAGGAAGAGTTTCGTGGTTTAGGGTTTGTTGGGTTTCGAGTTTCACATCAGATCGGGGCGGAAGACTTCTCCTGCGTTGGATACAGGGTTACTGGCAGCAAGCAACTCGCCTCTTGTGGTTGCTCCTTGTTTTTGTCGGCTTTATGGCTCTCGCCACTGCAAGTCTGGAGATTTGGGGTTCGGTGTTTTTGTGTGTATGCCGGAAGCCACGAGGGAGTGCCTCTGCCTGTTGTGCCCGAGGTTAGGACATACACACCCCCATTGTTGGGACGCAGAGTTCCATTGCAAGGATGGTAAATACTGTCTTTGGATGGAACAATGCAACGAAGACGGAAGCGAGAGAACCACGGTTTAGGGGTTTAGGGTTTAGGGGTTTAGGGTTTAGGGTTTCTGGTTCGAGGCCTGCCAGGGTGTCTCGAGCGGCCCATGGGCTACTGCGTTGACATCCAGGAGTCTGTTGCGTTCGCGGAGGAGGTCATCTGTGACCCCCGTCTTAAGTTCGCAATTGATGGAAGCCCAGGAGCCTCCCAAGACCCGAGATTCCAGGCTCTGGGGTGTCATAGCCTTCTATGTTGAAGGACCAGACATCATAATTTGTGGCCGAGCTGCTGGACCAGTGCCTCGGGAGCAAACGGTCTTCCGGGCTGAAACGCAGGCGCTGGCCTACTTGGTTGGTAAAACTGAGGCAGAGTTGGATGTTACCCAGGACTGTCAGGGTGTCCAGCAAAATCTCCTCAACAACAGCCCCTCGTGGCGCTCTGAGGACATATCCGGCCACACCAGCAAGTTGTCAAACTATATGGCCCCAGCAGCCGTGAGCCGATCTCCTGCATGGAGGTATTAACCTGCTAGCGCCGCGGTTGGGGCCAGGGGGACCTGTCACAGCCACGTTGGCCCAGTGTGACATGTGCAAAGCTCAAGCAGGGTGTCTCAGGGGGTGGCCCCCCCAAAACGTTCCTTTGACATGAATAATCACTTCCCCCTTTCATGAAACACCCCCCCCCCCCAATAATGAAAACGCATTGGGGGAATCCTCCCGAAATCATCCCTGCCCTTTCAAACCCATTCTTAATCTATGCAGGGTGGTTGCAGGCCTCCGAAAGAGGACCCTAAATCCTAAACCCCAAATTAAATCCCTACTTCATTCATACTATCATTTCATCCGATGACTAATTATTGTTCACCCAAATACCGAATGAAGACAGTGGACATAAACATACCCCCTAAGAATACAACCACCTTCCGAGTTTCTATTGGGGGGGGCCCCGTTTACTATTAGGGGGAAGGGATTATCCTTCATCCTTCATCTGCGATGTGATACAGCTTGTACAGCTGTAGATCCTAGGCTCTCCTGTAGTATGTTGTGCCCCTTCATTCAGAAAATAGGGTACACCCGGAGCCTCAGCAAAGCCCGAAACCGGCAAACCTATACGAACAACTAGTTGATAAACACTGCAAGGTCGTGCGCTTAGCCCTGAAATGGCGACTCTGAACCCTGAAATCCAAGATCTTTGGCCTAGCAGAAAAAGAACGAAGCCTCCATTTGTAAAGCTTTATAAGTAAAAGTGCTTTTAGGGCCAAATGTTGTTGCTTTGAAGCCCCACCCCAAGGCTAGGCACGAAACAAGGCCTAAGACACCCCCAGCTTTAAGGCAGCCTCCTTAGTTTCTGTAACAGGTAGGGTTCCGCAAACCCTAAAACCCTCTCAACCCTAAACCCCAAACCCCTACCCCGAAACCCCAAACCCTATATGGCCCTATATCCCCAAACAACCAAGACAGAAACCCGAGATCTCCGTGCCCCGACCCCCAAGCATGACCCCAACCCAGACCCCAGAGACCGAAACCACGGAGCCGCAATCGAGATCCGTGGGTTTGGGGTTTTGGGGTTTGGGGTTTTGGGGTTTGGGGTTTAGGGTTTTGGGGGTTTAGGGTTTTGGGGTTTAGGGTCTAGGGGTTTGGGGTTTAGTGGTTTAGGGCTTGGGGAAGTTTAAGGTTTAGCGTTTAGGATGGACTTCGAGAACCTAGCAGAGAACCACTCACCCAACTCACCCAAATCCTAAACCTAAACCGTGAAACCTAAAGCCGAACCCCTAAGCCCTAAAACCTTACCCGAGGCCCTAAACCCTTCTTTTCCGTTTGCCCTTCAAACAGCAACGAGAAACCCCAAACCCTAAAACCTACGAGACCTAAGCCCTCGGCCCTAAAACCTAAACCCTAAACTCTATAAACCCCAAACCCCAAAACCCCAAAACCCTCAGCCCTAAACTCCAAACCCTGAACCCGAAGTCCTAAACCCTGAATCCTAAACTCTCTAAACCCCCAAACCCCAAAACCTGCGAAACCCTAAGCCCGCTTGTTCAGGGCCCGGAGCCAGAACCCGAGTCTGAGTTAGGCGAGCTGAAGGCGAATCCATAAGGGTGTTTTATGGGCTTTTTGGGGGTGGTGTTTTGGGCTTTTGGGGCTTTTATGGGTTTTTGGTGGTGTTTTGAGCTTTTTGGGCTCTTAAATGTGCTTTTTGGGGTGTTTAGGGCTTTTTGTGCTCTTACATGTGCTTTCTGGGGTGTTTAGGGCTTTGGGGTTCTCGGGTGATTTGGATGTTTAGGGGTGTAGACTTAGGGTTTACGGTGCTTAACGTGTTTACTTTTTGGCTTTCCACGGGTTCGTTGAGGGTTCTGGGGTGTGGTCTTCGGTTTCTGTAAGACTTTTGTACATGGTCTGTTCTGCGAGGGTTCTTAGTCTTAGACTTGTCTTTGGGGCGTTTGGGGTTCAGGGTTTTGGGTGTTGGCCTGAGGCTTGAATGGGGGGACGGGAGCTTGGTTTCAGAGATGTTCTTTCGGACTTCCTTTTGGGGTTTGGGGTTGTGTGTATGTTCTTGCGGCAGAGTTTGGCCCTTGGGGTCTTGGGGTGCTTTGCAGTTTGTCCCAGCGGGTGTACGGTAGAACTGCAGTCTTGGGCTTAGGAGACTTATTTGCCAAGTGACTGCTTGAGTTCTTGCCGTAGACTTGCAGAGGAGTTGTTATGTCGCTCCCGTTTGCTCTCTCTTTTGTTTGTTTACGTCGTTTACCTGCATATATGTACGTCTATAGGTATGTATATGTGTATACATATGTACATAATATATATATATATATATATATATATTGCACAGGCGCATGCGCACTTATATGACATACAAACATGCATGCATTCCTGTGTACGGAGATACACCTACGCACATGTGTATGTGTAGATACATATACAAACATGACAAGAACAAGAAACAAGCCTGAGCCGCAACTAGTAACGGTAGTAGAAGCCATATTGGCAACAGTCGCAGTGGCAATACAGAAGCACAAGAATAATAGCAGCAACAGTACTGGTAGTACTTCAATTTGTGATACTTATAATCAGAATAGCATTCGCAGTAACACTCACAATGAACAATGAAGATAACCTGGACAAGCAAGTTTGATACATGATGTTCGTGATAATCATGATGATTCTTGTTCTTGTGGCCAGTACCAATTACCTTTTGATGTCGCATCAGCATGTTCCATGTCATTAGCATAATAGCACTGAAGCTCACTAAGCAAAGGCATTGTTACTGTTATCAAACAGCGGTACTAGTCGTGGTGGTCGTTGTCGTCGTCGTAGTAGCAGCAGCAAGAGGAGGAAGAGTAGTAGCAGGAGGAGGATTAAAGTCCTCCCAAGCCCCCTGACAAGCAGCTCATTCAGGCGCTTTGTGAGGCCCAGGCCAGAGGGTGTGAGCTGGGTGGTGGTATTATCCAGAGTGATAATGCTTCAAGGTTCAAGGTTCAAGGTTTGCGGGTTCAGGTCAATTAAGGCTTCAGGGCACCGGGTCACACAGGATATCGAGTGATTTCTACAGGGCTTCGTGTGAGGGTTTGACAGAGTTTGGAGGTGCCACTAAATCCTGTGCTTGGGATTGCAGAGTCTAGGGCTGAGGACTAGGATGGGGCAACAGAATCGGCATGGTGTTAAGGTCGCAGGGTTTGTGGCGTTGAGGGTTCAGGGCTTATGGAGTCTGTTTGGCTCAACCACCCAGGGTGCCGGGATCAGGGATTTGGGCTGCAAGGCCGGCTTAATTGATTAGGGGTGGCGGTTCTGGGCTTTTTTCGCTTGGGAGATGCAGCTTCTGTCGAACTGCGTGGGCACACCAAATCCAAAGCTTTAGACCCAAAATGGGCCTCAAGGTTTGGACTTGCACTTGTCCTGTAACGTCGGTCCCTCAGGGCCAAGAGCAAATATGCGGAGCATCTCCCCTTATTGTCCCGAGTCCCGATACAACAGTGAGTGAAATGAAGGCGAGGTCTCGACTAGGTATAGATCTGTGCGATTTTCGGGAGAAGTGGAAGGCATCAAGGAGCCATGCGAACGATAGAAGGTGAAAGGGGCGTAGCCAGCTTGTAGTCTTCTAGGACACCATACACGTTTTGTAAACACACCCCAAAACCCTTGCTTCATGTTGGCTTCAAACCTCAATCCGAAATTCCGGACCCTGAGAGCTAAAATCTAAAAGCCCTAAACCCTCAACCCGTAGATCGTTCGAGATAGTTTTGGGTGTTTCGTCGTATCTTGCCTTTACGTCTCTTAAGATGCTGCCTCATCGCGTTCGCAGGCTAGCACTTGGCGAGCCAAATGCCAAAGGCGATCAGCACCACAGTCGTCGTTTCCGGTTCGGACTATCTGGATAACTTTTCCACCAGGACTGTGACCAGGGGGCGCACTTATCCACTCTGATGCCTCAGGTCGCGCCGAAAGCGCTTCGGCCTGAAGTCGTGGGCATGCTAAAGCAGATGCTTAGCGCTTAGCAATGCCGTTTGCGTCAACAGCACATTATGCCGGGAAGGTGCCTAATCTGACGATGGGAACAGTGAGACATTCAAAGCCTGTGAGTCACCGGCTGATGGCCATTTGGTGCTGGCCAACGAGCTAAGCTTCACGGCTATGAGTTTTCTAGGCTCGAAACAGTTGGTGATGAGGTTTCCTTTTACAAATCTATTGAGTTTTCATGTACCCCCAATAAGCGTTAAAGATTCTGCATAGTTTTCACCGGAAAAATCAAACTATGCAGTTTTGTATCTATTTGTAGGTTTTTGGGTTTAGGGCTTTAGGGCTGCAAGGTTTAATGTTACAACCTGATTAACAAAGGCCCCCCCCGCATGGCCCGCGGTTATAAGCAGCCCCAAAAGACCCGGGGACGGATACTAAGTAGGGAAGTCGTAAACTCTGAACACCTCAAGCTCGAAACCCCGCAGCCCTAAAGCCTAACAGCCCCCACTATGCACAAACCCTATATTATAAAGCTCTGTAAGGCCCTGGAAAAACCCTCAAAGAATTGGGTTCTTGCTCAGGAACTTAAATTTCATTTTTCAGAAAGCGTATAATTTACCATGGATCCCCATGATGGTAGCTGAAATAAAGTTCCCGAACAACCCGAAACCCAAATCCTTGAAACAAGAGCCCAGTATTTCGGAGGCTGCTCGCATTGCCGAGCTTGAGACGAAAACCGCCAAGCAAGAAGCCGCGGCCTCGAAAGGTTAGGGGTGTTTAGGGCTTTGGTTTTAGGGTTCAGGGTTTGGGGGTTTCGGTTTGGGGGCTCAGGGTTTAGAGTTTGGGGGTTTAGGGTTTGGGGTTCAGGGGAGATCGGGGGTTAGGGTTTGGAGGCTCAAGGTTTAGAGTTTTGGGGTTTTGGGATGTTTTGGGTCTAGGAGTTTAGGCTTAGTGTTTAGAGTTTAGGAGTTTGTGCGCACCAGGGGTTTAAAGGGCATTCGTAAAGGTGTCAGTAGGGCTGCAAAGTATAGCCAGGAGTCGTGTATAGGGTTGGGAAAGGATCCAGTAGGGAAGCTTTGCAAGGAAGGCTTCAGCCAGCGCTTCAAGGACTTAAAGTTGTAGATGCACAGATGAAGCATGAATCAAGTAGCCCTAAACTCTAAACCTCCCCAAACACTTCAGGCCCCAAGCCTCAAGCCCCAAAGCCTCGAACCCCAGGGCCCCAAAGCTTTAGACTCTCAACACTGATTCCACAACCGGGAAAGCTTAAGTTCCCCAACCCCCTAGGCCTCAAACGATGGACTACCCGACAGCGGACAGAAGAGGGCTTTTCAAGTTTCAACAAACCCCAAAACCCAAATACCGTGAACCCTAAAACTCTAACCTCTGAGCCCCAAGAACTTGCCTTTGATTAGTAGGGAACGGAAGAATGGTAGCAATAGTAGTTATACTTATACCCCATTGCTCCAGTCCCTACTAAAGGTAAGTTATAGGATTGTTAACGCCCCTATATTATAGTACCCTTATAGATCCCTTATAGTACCCCTTATAGACCCCTTTATAAGGCCCCCTCCATTCCCTACTACCCAAACGTAAGACAAGCCCCGAAACCCGGAAGCCCGCAAGGCTCAGATCGCAGAGCTGCGGATGCTCTTGGCCCGCAGCGGCACAACGCCCCGAGGCCCGGAGCATGAGCAACTAGGGTACTATAAGGGTCCCTGTAAGGGTTCTATAATATAGGTACTATTAGGGTTCCTGAGTAGTACCCTTTTCCCCCTTGTGACCCTTAATGAAAACTGAATATTAGGAAAAAGGGCACTCTTCATGTTAAAGGGGCGGTTCATGAACCTAGGCAATCCAAGCCTTCAGGGCTTTCTGTGTGCGAGTTGCGAGTGTGTGTTTGTGTGTACAAATATGTTTGTATGTGTATGGGCGGGTATATAGTTAGGTAGATAAACCGATAGATCTGCAGAGAAAGAGGGACAGATGATACAGATGTTGTATATACATTCGATTCAAGCACACGTGTGTGTGCTGTATATCTTACTGTCTCTGTGTATATATATATATATGTATATATATATATGTATGTATATATAGATAGATTTATTTATTTATCTAACTGAGTTAATGGGTATTTTTTGCAGAGGTATTCTTAGAAACAGCGAGCTTGCAAGCATGTAATGTTGAAATGTGCGACAGTCTCTCGGGTCTAAGGTCTACCTACTTACATCCGGGTTAGTCGCTCCGTATCAGGTTGTTCAGCTTAGGCGTCGGAGTTTCGTGTTCAGATGTTGGCTTGAGCCTTACATATACCAGACCTTAAACCCTCGCTAGGCTATGCCGTAGAGGTTTCGGAGCTCTTTGAGTGGAAGTTGTGTTGTATCCAACTTAACTTCCGAACACTCGCTCAACATCAACAATAGCCACAAGACGTCGTGGTGTAGTAAACATGTATGGGTAAGAAGAAAAACCGCAATGCTTGAATACGCAATGCACGTTGGAGTCGGGCGGGCTACAGCAGCCGCACATCAGGCCTGGCACCCTTAACCTAAACCGTTCCGTTCTTGCCAGGTGACTCCTCGCCACGGAGTGCTCGAAGAGCCGAGGTGCGTAGGGTTTGAGTTTAGAACTTGCGGTTTGGGGTTTGAGGTTTAGGAATTAAAGTTTAGGGTCCGGGTTTTGGGTTCAGGGTTTCAGGCAGGCTTCAGGGCTTTCCGTTGAGGGTTCCAGGGTTTGGGGTTTTCGGGTTTGGGGTGGGATTTAGGAGTGTCCGGGCTTATGCTTGTTCCACTTTGCTTCTCCACTGCTGCCAAAGGGTTCATGCGATACTTACAGTGAAGTGTATGTATTTGTCTGCATGGCCAGGAAAGGCCCCGGTTCATACAGAAGCTTGAAGAATTGCTTTGATCATTCCGTTCCGTGGTATAAATAATAAATACATAAATAAATATATATATATATATACACACACATAGACAAAAAAATATGTATACGCACACCATAATAGCCACAATGTAAACCACGCCCTTATTACAAAAAGTCAGGCTCCTGTATTGGACCCGTGTCGGTCAATCTGAAAAGCTGTGATGAAGCCCCAATAATAAGGCACTGAAAACCATACTTATTACTGGGTACTTGTTAAGGGATGTAAATGAAGTTACCATAGCTCAAGAAACCATATTGTTTGCTATAGAGCCCTCTTGTGGTAAATTAAATGCCGCAACAAGAGCCCAGATTCAGTACTTATAAAGCCCCATACCCCTATACCCAACTGAGCACTTATAACTTTATAACCGTATTGATTAAGTCCCATGACCATCCAAGTACTTCCAGGTCCAGACGGCGCCTCCGCCGGGCACCCGGCTCTTAGCGATCGTGTGGTCGGTTTGGGGTTTAGGCTTTCCAACTTCTACAATAGCACTGTAATTCTAATACTACCGGTACGGTAATGATACTACTGTCATACCATTACAGTGAGACTAAAATCATAATGCGATCTTGCAGTCACTTATATAAATCTCAGAAGCCCTGAAGGCAGAACCCTGTGGCATGAAGCTTCAGCCCACACACCAGCGCCTAACACAAATCTATCCACCGAAACCTTGCACTATAATTACCCTAAGCCCCGGGAATTTAAACCCTAAACTTACTCTCAACACCACAAACCACCAAGGCCTGAGGTCCCGATACAAGCTTTACGGCCCTAGATTCGAAGCCCCCGTGTATAGAAGACTGGATTGTGACCAACATTACAGTCCCTTCGGTTCCCTTGGTTATTGCTTTTATACTTTTTCAGAATCCTCAAAATCGTTTCGAAAATCAATCAGGACCCTGGTTTTCGCATTAGCACTCAAAACGGAAAATTATACAGGACCTGAAGCTCTAAACCATAAACCTCCACAAGACCGTAAGTCCATGGACCCCTAAGGGCCAGAGCCTGAAAAGCTCTAAGCTCTCGACTTTGCTTTTTGCTTAGGAGGACCAGCCTTTCGCCTGGGAAGAGCCGGAATGGAGGTGCACCCCAAATTGGGCCATCCACCCTAAACCCTGAACCCTTCAACCCTGAAACCCTGAACCCTAAACCCTAAACCCAAACTGGGAAGACGGCTTCCCCTCAACCCGAAAGCTGTCAGAGCTTCGGTTTTGGCAGTTCCGGGGTGTCAGCGCAGGAGTCAGGATTTCAAGGGCTGAGGAGGCTGTGGCAGCGTGTGCGAGATAAGGTTTTATGAGTTGTCGAAGCGGTTCGAGTTTGGGGTTGAGGGTTTGTGAGATATGCAGAGTCAAGAGTCTAGGGTTTCCTTGCGCACTCCTTTTCATCTGCCTGGCTGTGACCCGCGGCAACTGGATGATTCCAAGATCCCTCTTCTCCGACCACATCAAGCACAGGGTTTAAGACCCAGACCCTAGGCGACTGACCTCACTTCCTCGTGGCAGATTCTGTGCCAGCAATGAACATGCCCCTGCGTCCATAGCAGCGTTAAGGGATGTTTAGGGTTTCGGGCTTGGTGTGTCTTTGCAAGAGCCTAAACTTCCTAAACCCCTAAACCCTAAACCCTAAGTATGCACACGCCGGCTATCTGCAAGCTATTGATAGGATCCGCGCCTTGGGCCAGTGTCACATCCGCCGCTTGGCTCAGATTCATTCTGCTGCGGGTTCTGGGCTTTCGTGGTTTGTTTGGAGTTATGGTTCTGTTTAGGGTTAAGGGGTTCAGGCTCTAGGATTTAGGAAGACTCCAGCTCATACGCATCCGTCAATCGATCTGGCGGAGAGCCCGTGGCACAGCAAAGCATTAAACTAGCTGACAATTGCGTATGATGTAGATATCGTCAGCCAGCTTGATGTCTTAAGCCCTTAGCTTCACAAGCTGGGCCGGAACAGAGAAGGTCAGAAGAACACGAAAGTAAAGGGGATCCAATGTCGAATGTTGTTACTGCTCACATTGGCCGCTTGAAAGGGTTGAGGTTCGGTTAGCGCCGGGTCCACCCCCGAAATCAGGAATTAGGGCTTTAGGGTAATGGGGCTTCGGATGGTGTATAGTTCAAGGGATCCAGCGCAGTTTTGTAGCTTGGGGATGTTTGGGGTTTGGGGCCTGGGGTTCTGACATGCAGAAATCTGAGCCACTCCCATTCCAAGGAGATTTCCCTTCGAAAAGTTCCTAGGTCCCACCCTGCACCCGAAACCCGAAATCCTGAACCCCTCATTTAACCTCGGCATTTTTCCCTTTAGCAAAGCGGGGCGTGCTGATTTAGTGCATGCCCAAAAGGCAGGCGCGCTTTGGAGAAAGGAGCGTCATTGCACTTTAAAAAGATAAGACCCCTAAACCCTAAACCCTAAACCTAAACCCTAAACCCTGATTTAACCCCCACACCCGAAAAACCCTGAACTCTGCGATCCCTCATCCCGGAACCCTACACCCTAGTCCCAAGCTGCACCCTAAACCCTAAAACCCGTAGAGCCCTACACCCCAGGACCTCAAATCTTAGAACCCTATAACCCCCTGAAACCTTAAAAGCCCTAAACCTTAGAACCTTTAAACCCTAAACACTAGAAGCCCTAAGCCTTTAAACCCTAAACTCCCCGACCCTGGACCCTAACACCTTAAAACCCCGAACCCTGAAACCTCAGAGCTGACCTAGACCCAACAACTACTGTAGGAACCTGATTAAGAAACCCTGGGCGTCTTAGTAGAATATCATATATTATTATGCAAACAATTACAACAAGAGTATCTTTTCTTTGGGCCATTCGAGAAGAAGTTAGTAACTTTAAGCCTACAACCCTATAAGGAGCCCTAGTAAAGGCCCAAGGTCTTAATCAGGTTCCTACATTACCCTCTCTTGTACCCCAAACACCCTCCATTAAGGGCCACGAGGGCTTTATTTGGCGTCCCCTCATAGAGTTATACGTACCACCACACCCATTAGGATCCCTAAAAGGGTACTCATAATTCTAATGTTTACCTTACTAAGTCCCCCGAGCCTTCACGCTGAACCCTGCAAGCCAAACCCTAAAAATGAACCTTTACCGTTGCCTGAGGGGGGTGCAAGGGGCCGGCGGGGAAAAAATGAACCTAAATCCAGGGTTCTGCTGCATGGGAGAGAGTTTCCAAGGTTGGCCCTGCCAAGGAACGACCGCGCAGGACGCTAAGAGCAGGGTTCAGGGGCGCAAGGCTTTGGATGAAAAAAAGGTGATGCTATTTTGGGGCTGGAGTTAGGGTTGAGGGTTGAGAGTCGAGGGTTTAGGGATCAGCAGCTTTAGTTCAAGCAGGCTCCATCTTTCGATTTATTTCAGCACATCTGCAACCGACATGGAGCCAGACCTCGGGATGTCATCGTGGTTTCAGGGCAAGGAAACGGCGGCGTTGGGACTGAAGCTACTGGCGCACCCCTGAATCGTGCCGTAGAACTTCAGCTTAAAGGCTGGACTCTGAAAGAGAAGCACGGCAACATTGTTTCTAACTCGAGCCCTGCAAGGGAATCTAGACATTCATCCCAAAAGCTTTCAACCGTAAGCCCTGGACTTAGACCCTGAACCGAACACTCATGCTCAAGGTGATGGCGAAGGCCTGGCCTCGTGCGCGGCACAATGTCGTGGTCAAGCAGCTGCAGGCGCCGGCGCAGCAGACACATCAGAACTTGCCTTTGGTAAGCAGGGAATGGAAGAATGGTAGTAATAGCAGTTATAATTCTACCCTATTCTTCCATTCCCTACTAACCAAAGGTAAGAGAAATCGTGCCCAAACCGAAACCATGTGAAACTCCGCCTAGTACCCCACACACTAACCACATCCAAAGACTAGACCCACGAATCCTAAAGCACTGAACTTCACGAAACCCCCAAACGCTAAATCCGAGCCCGCCAGAAAAACCATGAGCTCCAAAGAGGTCTCAATCAGTCGTATTGCTATCCCTCAAAAAAACATGTTTGCATACATCTTGTTGTAATGTACCCCGAAACCCAATTCTAGCAGTAAACGCCCTCATACTACACCATTGCCACTGCTTCTGAAGCACGAGACCAAGTAAAGCTCTGATTGAAGCACATGTGATGCATGAACAGGCCCACCGCCGCCTTCACCAGCACTGCAGAGAGCGCAGGCACGGCGTCAGGTTCAGCGGTTCGGGGGTGTGAAAACTGTAGGCTGCAGAGTCGCAAGTTGTTTGGTCGTGTAAAAGATGGGCTGGGCTTTGTGGGTGCTGGTGGTGGGGATCGTCGAAAGCTGTTGGTGTCCCATGTCTGAACTTAAGGTGCTTCGGCGACAGGGAAGCTCTTATAACCCTTAGCCCTTATTCAAGCCTACAAGCCAAGCCCTGACCTGAAAGAACCTTCTTACGGATCCCTTACAAGAACCCCTAAACCCTAAACCCCTAAACCCTAAACCCTAAACCCGAACCAGACACCCCGAGCGCCAGCAGGTCCTGGCAGAGGCGCTAGTGGTGGCCACTCCGAAGCTAGCGCAGCTGCTCCCAGAGTTCCACCTTTGGGGGGCTTTGGGGCACTGGGCCCTCGGAGGTTGCGGGCTTCTCTGCCCTAAACCCGTGACTCTGCGGGCGTTAATGCCTCGGGAGCTTGAGGATTTAGGTTGTGGAATGCAGGTTTCATGGCTCAGGGCTCCTACCCTGGGTTTTTTATCACCATACAGCCCTCAGCAGATTCTTGTGAGTGTAGCATCTTGCGTGAATCCTGAAACAGGGCCCCGCCTTTGTCTAACTCATCCAAAGTGTTCCTGACACCCCAAGCCTGACGCGAAAGAAAAGCCCCAAGCCCCAAGCCCTCCACCCAACCCTGCACTGCACCAAAACGGTCCTACAACCACCGGAAGATGTGCAACCACACCCCGCCAGGCATTGTGGTACCTTACCTTGTCAGACATCTGAGACCCCGTGCACTTTCACGAGCCCACCAGCCTGCCTAAGACCCCACATACCAAATCCTGCCCAAGCAGCCATGAGCCTGGTAAGCCAGAAATAAACCGTTCGAAGCCTTTCCGAACCTCTGGGAGAAACCCAGGTAAATCACCCAGCACCACATCACTACAGAATAGAAGCAAGGGTGCAGGGTTTAGAAGATTGAAAACGATGACGGACAGACAAGCCCAGAAACAAACTTTAATACAGTCTAAGTCTAAACCCTACACCCTAAATTCTACCCCTGAACCCTAGACTTAAACTATTCCAAACCCTACACCCTAAACTTTAACCCATAACCCTAAACCATCCTAAGCCCTACACCCTCAATTCCAAGCCGTAGCCCTGCATTGTTCTCACCCCTACACCCTAAATTCAAAAACCTGAACCCTAAACTATTCCAAAACCTGCACCCTGAATTCCAAGCCCAAACCCTAAGCCTTAACTCAAAACCCAACCCAAACCCTGAACCCTAAGTTCAATCCCCGAAGCTAGGTTCCTGAGTAGTGCCCTTTTGCACTTTTTCCTTTCGGCCGCCCGAAGAAAACAGAATAGTAGGAAAAATGGGGCCCTTATTATTATTATTTTTTTTTTATTATTATTATTATTATTGTTATTATACAGGGGCTACTCAGGGACCTAGGAAGAACCTTAAACCACTGATCTCCTAGGTGCGGGGTCCCCACCCGAAGTCCTGCTGGCCGGGCACTGAGTCAGGAGTGGCAGAAAGGGTTTAGGGTTTAGGGTCATAAGATTCGGGGGGTATTTTTTGGGTGGGGGGGTTCAGGGTTTAGGGTTTGGGGGGTAGGCGTTTTGGGATTGAGGGTTTAGGGTTGAGGATTCGGTGGGATAGAATTTTCAGGGTTTTAGGATTAGGCTTCGGGTTTGAGTTTAGGTTTCGGGAGGTTTGCAGGCGTGGAAGATTCGCGTAACCTGGAGTTTAACTTACCTTTGGTTACTAGGGAAAGGAAGAATGGTAGTAATAGTAGTTATAATTGTACCCCATTCCTCCATTCCCTACTAACCAAAGGTAAGTTAACGGAAAGGTTTAGCTTTTGGAGCTCTTCCTGCGCGTGGGGTTAGGCAGGAGCTATGCAGGTGGTTGGGATTGGGGCATGAATGTAGGGGCCTTTAAAATAATTAACAGTACTATTTGGTGAAATCCTTTTATTATATTTCTAGTATAATGTGCCTCCAAACCCTATTCTAACTATTCAGGCCCCTATAGTATGTAGACAAATCATGGTCAGGCATACTGATTCAGGCTTATACTCGCAACCTATGACCAGCTAGCACCATGAGCCCTACACCCATAATTTCTCCTGAACCTATGGCTCGGGTTTTGAGACTTCGGAGACACACCTTAAATGAAATGCAAAACCCTTATTCTTAAACCCCAAACAAACCTGAACCCTACATCCAACACCCCCAAATCCTCAACATCATGTCTGAACGCCTTGATCCCGTCCCTTAAATCCGAAAGCTCTATAAAACCTCAACCCCTAAGCCCCAAAGACCTAAACGCATGAAACCGCCGAAACCCCACGAACGTCAGATGCCTGTGGCCCAGCCTGCAAAGGTCTCCTCGCCTCTCCGCGACAGGATGGCCGGCAGGCCGTTTTGCAGTCAAGGTTCAGGGCTTTAGGGCTTTAGCGTTTTAGGGTGTAGGGCTTTAGGATGCTTTGGGGTTTAGGGTTGTAGGGTGTAGGAGTTTCGGTTTTAGGGTTCAGGGGTGTAACGGCTGGTTCTGAAGGCCCCTATACTAGGTTCCGAAGTGGTTTGGACTTAAGGGCGCATGATGAAGCCTATGTTCGTCAAAGCATAACAGAAAGCCTTCAACCTTGGCCCCAAACCTTGAGGGTCTTTCCAGCTTGTGTTCAGGACGTCAGTCTGCCAACACAAGGTTGCTGAGGAAGGGAGGCTAAGGGCTTAGGGTTTCGGAAATGGCCATGACACTACTTGACTATTCCCGTGTTCACCAAGCTTCAACCGCGTTTCTCATTCCCAACTTGGAAATGCATCATACCAGCATAGAAGACGCCTTAGGGTTCCGCATTCCCAAACTTTATTCGAGTTGTTGAGGGTTTAAGGTTTAGGGTCCTACACTACAAACCCAGCTGCTCTGCTGCCTGAGGCGATGCTGACACCCAGGCGCGGGTCCTGCCGTCGACTCGCTTTCCGCCCATGGGCTTGGGGTTTAGGGCCTGTATGTCTTACCTGGGGATACAAAACACCCCTTTTTTTCAGTGTTATGACTGTAGGGGTCAGGGTTTCGGGTTACAAGGGCGACAAGGCTTTCTTCGTTTTGCATTGTAAGCCTCACGACTTGCGTTTGCGAGTTATGCCCTAAGTAAGAGGGTCTGCCTGAGCTTCACAAGCGTTGTTTTGCTAAATTAAAGTAGTTCTGGGTCTTCGGGACCTGCAAAACAGCTCGAACAAGGTGGTAACATGTGGTAACCGGCCGAACGAAAGAGAGTCGACCCTAAACCAAGTTTTGAGAGCGCTGAGCCCACATTTCTCAAACCCAGGATCACCCCAAAACCCTATAGAGCCCTAAACCCTAAAGCCCTAAGACCCTAAACTCTAAACCCAAAATGATACACCCAAGGATCTTCCCCAGATCCGACGGTCAGGTTGTCGCCGTCGGTCTCGATGGCCCAGGCCGCGCCCTCTTCACGTTTTAGGTGTTTTTATGGTTTCGGGATCTTGCTATTTTTCAACATGGTTTTGGGGTTCAGGGATTTAGGCTTTATTGTCGGCTTATGGTCTCGGTGTGTTCAGGGTTTGGGGTTTGAGCTGCCCGGAGTGTCGTTGTGCGGTGCCGCCAAACCTCTGCACCTGAGCCCAGGAGGTGTCTCATGCCGCCGACTTCCCTGCGCCGCATCCTTAGGGTTTACGGTTGGGGAGGTCTAACACGGGGTTGAGAAGGGGCTCATGGGTGATATACTGGGTCTTACCTAGTCTGACTACAGGACAAGGCTAAGAGTTGTAATAGGTTTCCTTTAGAGTGTGTCCAACAAAGCACAGACGTGATGTGCAGGTACAGGGTTTCCTGGTACATGTTCGTGATCGCAGGGGTTTAGGATGAGCTGAAAGAAGGGGTTTAGGGCTGTCGTTTCCAGCGGTGCCCAATACCGAATCTCAGTGAGGTGAGGTAACCCTGAAAACAAGAACTAGGGTCTAGACAGATGGGTTCGATGCCTTCTTCAACGGATTGGGATTAAAGGACTTTGGTACCCGATTTCTTATCTGTTCCTGTTCCGTTCTGACGAACTTGATGCATATTCGGCTCCCAGGACTGGTTGCAGGCTTGTACCATGACAAAGGCCCTGCCACCAAAGACATTCATCCCATATCTCGAGACCCAGTCTGAGATATATGGAGAAATTAACAATGATGCGGCAAACCCTACATCCTGGAGCCTGGACCTGCAACACTTTAACCCTGGTCTGGCCAGATTCGGCTTGAGATCCTCCGAGCATGTTGCTATTGGGCTAAGGTTGCTTTCCCCTGCATATGGCAGCAGGTGCCGGGGAGTTCGTCTTGCAAGATGGGTCAACGTGCTTGGTTCAGGCTTTGGGTTTCTTCTGACCATCGACAGCACCACGAAAGCAGCACAGACGTTCAACTGTACCATGTACCTTGTCCAATGAGGTATTTAGGTACCATAGTAGCAGAAGTGCCTCTGGGAGGGTTGTAGCTTCTTGTAGCTGCTGGAGCAACAGGCCTGCTGTCACCTGACCCGAGTCAGAGCTTAGCAAAAGTTGTGGATGAAGCTGCAGCAAGTTGGATACGATGTATCAGACTCTGCGTTGCTTCCCTCTTGTCATTGCGGTCTCGAGCCGGCGGGTCGGAAATTGAAGATCGTTGGCGTGGCTGTTTGGGTGGCTCTTCGGGGCTTTCTAAGACCAGAGAGGGAAATTCAAAGATGCTTGCGAAATCCTCAGGGTCAGGCATCAGAGGGCACCTGACTTTTTCAGAATTTCACGAGGTCTGCGGATATTTCTGGAGAGACTGGCCAAATGTCGGAACAAAGAGCTTGCGGGTCCAAAGAACGAGCTGCGACGGGGCCCTAAACCTGAACTCTTCTGACATAGACGGCAAGGGCTGGACCGGCGAAATAGCATCCGTCAGTACGGGACCCGCATAAGCCTTAGAGCAGGACACCAAACAGTGAGAGTCTCGGTGTCATGCAACCCTATACCCTAAACTTAGACCGGCAGAGGTCCATCATCACGCAAGCTGCTTGCGAAGGGACCTCAGCGAGAGAGCTGCACATGCGCCCCATTTAACACTTGATGCAAGGCACCGATCATATGATCCATCAGGATCCACATTATAATCATCGTTAACGGAATGGAGTTCGTCAATCCGCGTTCCACCCTCACATTCGTGTTGCTGTTTCGGTGGGAGTCGGGCCGTAGCCTCAAAGCAAAGAAGGCTCTCGAAGCTTCAAACAAGACACGACGTGTTCCTGCTAGTTGCAAAAGGAAGGGAGGGGTCACAAGAAGGCCCTCACGCGCAGTCGCCACAGATTTGAGTGCTGGTCATGGTTCCAAAATTAGACCACAGCAGCTTTGATCGTCATAAACATAATCATAAAGATACCAACAACAAGAGGAAGAGTGATACTGCTACAGTATTGAGGAGCTATAGCCCAGGAATTTCACCAGCAGTCAAAGTTTTCGTCTATGGCTGAAGCCGGGATCCTTCTTGAAAGAGTCTCGGAGTTTTGTACCCATTCGCCCGAGCGAAACCCGTGGAGGATCCGAAGAACTGAGCCGCAAACCCTGCAAGACAGGGTCCGTCAAAAATGAAAACATATAACCCTAACCTAAAAAAACTAAATACAACCTCTAAACCCATAGCCCCCAGATCCACGAAAGCTCGGAGTCTTCGGAGAACCTGAGGCTACGCCTCAGGTTCCCTTGGCGTCACCGTCAGGTGGGGGGGAGGGGGTTAGCGTTTAGGGTTTGAGGGTTTCATAAGGCTTTTGGCTTTGGGTTGATGGCTCTTCACACGTTTTGGGTTCATGGTTACGGGAAATGGTTTGGCAATGACCTCGGATTGTGAAGTTGGTGGTTCCTCGGACTCTAGAGGGGCATTGAGTGCGTTATTGTTCAGGGAGACCGCTGTCACGCCCAATTCGGCACTTAGGGTCACCAACGAAGCTGAGCTTCGAAATGTCGAATCTTTAGGCTAGCCGGCTTCTGAAGACAGCAGCGAGCATCGTTACAGCAGTCCACCACCTCATGTGTGTTTCAAGCGCAAGTTCAAAGCAGTTAACAAAGTCTCCATGCATACAGAGGCATTGGGTCACCCGCATCCCAGTCCGGCCGAGCAGACAGGCTCTTTCCTGTTGCCGACGCATGCCGCGCTGGTGCCAAGCGGCTCGCTAAATGTAGCACTGGCCTCGGCGTAGCAACGTTCAAGTGCGCGAAGTTCGCTGTCCACATGCTACATGCGCACAAGCATACTTACATGCACGTAAGATCGTTTACAGTTAGAGCGCCGTTGCTTGAGTTCGAAAGATGGGTTCCCTCAAGATACTTGTTTTGGATGGCAGATCTTGGAACAGCTACCTTTCCCACCAACAGCAGACTTCGCCTCCTTAAGCTTAAACATCCAAAATTCTGCATCGGCGGGTGGGGCGCGGTGCTGCTTAGTCTCTAGACATTCACACCCTCAATCACCCTCATCTAGAGCAACTCCTACATGGAAAAGCGCCGGAGAAGCTCTTAGACTTTCGTCTAGCCTGTTGTCAACACAAGGACAAGACCCAGCAAAAGCAGGAAAGGACCCGAGGAAGAAGAAGAAGAAGCGCAAATATCCCTAAACCCCCAAACCCTAAAACTCCCAAACCCAATTTAAGTTTAGATCATCCTAGAATCCTAAACCCTAGACTCCTAGACCCCAAACTTTTAAATCCCTGCCCTCTGACGCCCAGGCCCCGGCTTTCGAAAAAAGGGCGCCCTCACCTTGCGGGCCCGGGCCCCGTAGCCGCGGTCCGATGGTTTGGTGATAGGACTTATTGTTCAGGATTTAGGGTTCAGGGTTTAGGGTTCAGGGTTTAGGATTTAGGGTTCAGGGTGTTTAGGGTTTAGAGATTTAGGGTTCAGGGTTTAGGATTTAGGGTTCAGGGTGTTTAGGGTTTAGAGATTTAGGGTTCAGGGTTTAGGATTTAGGGTTCAGGGTGTTTAGGGTTTAGAGATTTAGGGTTCAGGGTTTAGGATTTAGGGTTCAGGGTGTTTAGGGTTTAGAGATTTAGGGTTCAGGGTTTAGGGTTTAGGGTTTAGAGTTTAGGGTTTAGGGTTTAGGGTGTACGGTTTAGAGGTTTAGGGTTTAGGGGTTTAGGTATAGGGTTTAGAGGTTCAGGGTTGAGGGTTTAGAGGTTTGGGGGTTTCAGAACATGCCCTGAAACCGTAAACCCTAAACCCTGAACCCGAACCCTAGATTACAGCCCTTTACAGCCCTCAAGTCCTTGATCCCTGACCCGTGGGATGTTCAAGCGCTATGCGGCCCAAGACTCTAAGAGCATGGAGCTTGAAACTCTCAGACCTGTAAAGACCATAGAGCACCTGGCTCTCGGAACTCGCTTCGATGTGTACCGCTGCATTTGCACATCAATGGCTGAACTGTTTCAGGACATTTGGGAGTTTAGGGCTTGGGGTGTTGACCCCAGCCTCACCAACAGCACAAAGCCCCAAACCTGTATAGAACCCTGACGAAACGATTACTCTTGCAAACACGCCATCAAGCCCCAAACCCCGTAGACAAATTTAGGCAGAACTAAGACCCGTAGACGGTCCCTGAAACCCAAACCAAACCCTGTATGCAACTTGGTAAATCCTAGACCGAGTTTAGAAGAGCAAAGAAACAGAGTTTAGGGTTTAGACGTTTTGGGCTTATCGGGTTTACCGTAACGGTTTACCCCATCACAACCCCGTCCCCAAGCACAGAACACCGAAACCCTTAATCCAAAGACTTGTAAGCCCTTGATTCTAGGCATGACTTGCGCATTCCTTGAAGCTGTGCCAGCTTTACGCAAGAATCGTTCGTTTGTGCTCTGGTGAAGGAGAACGATAGCTTTGTTGAGAACGATCCGTAGAAGAGGATGGGAATCTACCTCAGACCCTTTGGTTGTTGCATCTTTTCCAATTCTTTGAACCTGCTCCAATTTCATGCGATCATCGTTTTTTGAACTCTGGCGGAGGAGAGCAATAATTCTGCCGAGAAGGATTCCCAGAAGAGAATGCACATACCGCGCTTAGATTGATCCTAAACCCTCAACCCCAAAGCCTTCACTCCTGGACCCCCTAGACCCCAACCCCTAAACCCTAAGCCCTAGCCCCAAACCCACAAACCCCCAAACTCTAAACCCTAAACCCCTAAACCCTAAACCCCTAAACCCTAAGCCCCTAAACCCCTAAACCCAAGAGCCCAATCCAAAGCCACGTTGAGGCGCGTCTCGGGAGGCTCCATGCGGGTGATTCCCGCCAGGCTGGGGCCCTTACTCTACGGGCCTTAACAATTAGAATAGGGGTTCCTTTCAAGGGGTCTATAAGGGATACTATAAGGGGCACTATACAAAAGGAGCCCTAATAATTAGAATAGGGTTTTGGGACCCATTATACAATAGTTATAGTAAGAAATCCTCAAAATAGTATTGGCAATTATTTCGGCCACTATGGCATTCTCTGGGTTTTGCTTCCATGCAGGGTTTGCGCTTCAGCGTTCCGGGTTTAGGGCTTCGGCTTAGGGTTTCAGATCAAAGGTTTACAGTAGAGGCCAGAAAGTTGGAATATCATTATCGTAACCCCTTTAAGGTAAATTATAGGGGATCCTACCATTAATCCATATTCCAACTTTCTGGAGTTCCCTTTATAGGGCTCTGCAACTTGGGTCTGTGGGGTTCCTCCGCGAGTCTTGTTCATGGATCTTGCACGTTGAGTGGTGCGAGGGTACTTGGAAGGGCAGGGGACTTAGTAAGTAGCTTATAAGTAGAGTTATAAGTACCCCAAATGGAGTTACCCCAATTATAATCCTGCTTATAAGCTACTTCCTAAGCCTCCAAGTAGGCAAGTTTGCCGCAGGAGGCTTTTACAATGCAGGGCGCAGGTTTCGGGGTTAGTGCCCCGTCAGGGATGACAACTGAAATCCGACAGTTCCCAGGCACTTAAACCCTTCTGCCCAGAGACTCCTGTAAACCCTATAGACTCTAAAAAAAAAAAAGACCCTAAACTTAAATCCCTAACCCTAAATCCCAAAGACCCTTAACCCCTAAACGCGAAAAGCTGTGAAAGCCATAAGAACCCTAAACCCTAAGCCCTAACCCCTGCTTCCTCGTAATTGCACCAGGAAGCGCCGCTTCCCCTTTGCCCTAGAGCCCAAGTCTTACGGTCAACCCACGATTCCGGTAGTTTAGGGTTCAGTGTTCATGGTGTAGGGTTGAGGACGTATGATTTAGGGTTCAGGTAAAACCGTTCAACGTTCAACTTGGCCTTGGAGTACCATACTTTAAATCACTTTTTTATGACCTGGTACTTAAAGGGAACCCATTATGAAAATAAGAAGCCTATACTTTTTTCTCCCTGGTTACTTCACAAAGCCCAGTCAAACAAAACTCATAAACGCCCCTGCTCTATTCAAAACGGCATTGCAGAAGCCTTTCAGTCGCATTAAACCTTGAACTGGCCGGGTCTCTATACACTATAGTCTCCTTTTAATTATTTGTTTTCATTTTTGTTAGTCTCCTTAGGGATTATTTTTTTTTTTGAAATTTTTGTTCGTATAAAACCCAAGAGAATATTAAGAATACATTTTTTTGTTATCGTTCTATGGGGTATAGTAGAGAAACCCCCAAACCGAAACGCTAACCCTCGGCCGGCCTGGGAAAATCGAGTGCGTCCTCAACTCAGAAGACCCTAAGTCCTAATTGGGAGTTTCCGAAAATAGCGGTACCATATTTGGGGGTCCTTATCATAAGGATCCTACTATTTAGGGTACTGTAGTAGGGTCCCGTATTTTTGGAAACTCCCAATTCTGCATTGCCCTGACTAGTTTTGATCGTAGATCCACGTAATACACTAGTACCCCTAACAGTGCCCGGAGAACCCAAGAGTCGAAAATCTTGTACGGTGCCCCTTAACCTCAAAGCCCGACACCCGGAACCCAAGCCCTACAAACCCCAAACCCTTATAAAATAGGGGACCCTATTAGAACACCCAAAACAGTAGGATCCTTGTTATAAGGACCCCAAAATAAGGTACCCCTAATTTCCCGAAACTCCCCGATGACCCTTCAAGTACCATCGCGAGCCGAGCGCTAGGCCTGCACAAGCTGCCACCGCAGTTCAACTTGTGCCCAGGCACAGAGGGCTTTCTCAAATGTTCTGACGCCCCACGAGACTACAGCAACATCTCGAGGGTTTAGGGTTTATAGTGTCTCACGATCTCGAGTTCTATTCTCGGGGCCGTCATGCTCGTGTTGAAAGGGTCGTTTCGGAATCTGCGAATGAGGGGTCACGCATAATGGATCCTTGTACGACGAATCTGCATATATGCGGTACCGTTAAAGCTCAAACCTTTGATGGCTCCGTGTTTTGATACGGCTCAGTCATTTTAGGGTTTGGTTGTTTAGGCTTGATTTTTCCAAGCCTGGTTTGATACGGGAGCCCGAACATGCCAGCCTTAGGATGTAGATGCATGTGTAGACCCTAAACCCCAAAGCCTGTACAGTAGAAGGGGCCCCCACCCTGTAATAGTGGTATAATAGGAACATAATAGGGCCCTAATATAATCCCTATAGTCACTATTACAGGGTGGGGGGCCCCTTCTAACCTATACATGCCAAAAACCCTCGGTCTAGCCAGTTCGGCCTCGATTTCATGACAGGTTTCGGTTTGGGGTTTAGGGTGCTACTGGGGTGCGTCTAGTCACAACTCTAGACCCTCAACTCTGAGCCATCATCGAATACCAGAGCATAGGTGGTCGGAGTGATTCGTACTAGGTAGTAATCATATCCCAGTACAGTAGGGCCATGTATACTTTATTGGCTATAGCACGAAAACACAAAAAAATCGGCCGCTAGTCTATAGGGCCCGGTTAGCACCGGTGGTTCAGGCTTCATGATCTGGGAGTACAGGCTTCGAAGCCGTATTCCATAGGGGTTAGGGTTTAATGTTTTGGGCTATACCGTTATACCCATGTCCCTTGCCCAGAGGCGATTTTCACCTCCGTCTCCTACCACAGGCCGAGCTGGTGTGCGGGGTTTAGGGATTGGGGTTCAGTGTTTAGGGCTTAGGGTTTAAAGTGGCTAAGAATTGATGATGGGTTTCAGTTGATGCAATATTTTTTGTGTGGAGTCCGAGGGATCAGGGCTTTGCAGAGTTGCCCTCGACTACTTCCTCACGGAGATGGGGATGAATACGTCGTTGTGCCGAAGTTTCGTGTGGAGAGACCTCCACCCTCCAACCTAAGCCCTGAACGGTTTACGGACAGTTCAGGGTTTAGGGCGAAACCGAACCCAAAGGCTCGAACCGATTGAGCGTTGGTCGGTCATTCTGGTTTGAAGTGTCGGGAGATTTTGAGCATTTCTAAGCAGAGAGCTTCGTGTTTTGAGGGCCTGGGGTTAGATTGCCCTTGTAGAATCCTGACTGAAGGGAAACCTTAGGGTTTAGGGTTTAGGGTTTAGGGAAACCCCTATGAAGCCTTGAACGGCAGCCTAAACCTTAAATCCAAACTCTAGACCAGTTTATAAACCCTAAGCCGTAAAAACCCTAAACTGGGACCCTCGACAAAAGCTGTCACAGTCAGGTCCCCGGATTGCAAATGCTTGGGCCAATGGCACTGAGGTGCTCTGCAGACACTTTTCAACCGGAGCTGCAGGTTTGTAGAGGTTGTGTATGGAGTTGGTTTTTCGAGTGCTTATTTAGGGATTGTATAGGGAGGGGGTTATAAGGATCTTATGTTTTCTTTTGAGAAAGAGTGCCTTGTGGTAGCTAGAGGTTATTACGGCTGGTAGTTGAGTATGGCTCTGAGGCGCTTAGAGAGGACTAGTTTCGGGTTCAGGTCCTTCGATGTGCGTGTCGCACGTGGTTCGAACGCCTAATCATATCTCCACGCGCGGAAACTCGAAGTTCTAGTATAGGGGCCTTGATAAATAGAATAGGTGGCGCTTACTTGGAGGTTTAGGGCAAGGGGATTACAATGAAATGACGCAGTCCGTGCATTTCCTGCATTACCGTTACCATCACTATTGCCATTGCAAATTGCGATTAGCTTTGCTATGACGGTGATGGTTGATGAAGGTTACTCCTCTTATCGTGACTGTTCCGCTTGTTGAGTAGCAGTAGTAGTAGTCGTCGTCGCAGTGACAGTGGCAGTGGCAGCGGCAGTGGCAAGTGGCAGTGTGTGCCACTGGCAGTGGCAGTGGCAGTGGTAGCAGTAGCACTGGCACTTTCACTAGCACTAGCGTAGCGGCGTGACTAGATGATGATGATGATGTCCTAAGGCCCAGACACCAAAACCTATAAGCCCCAACCCCTACCTGTAGCCGAAAAGACCTACCATCTTAAGGAACTATATATAGAAACCATAATAAGGAACCCTAAAAAGGTAGGTCTTTTCGGCTACAGGCAAGCCCTAAAATGATGATGTTGATCACCAGCCCCTAGCTCCAGGCCCCTCTGCTCCTGCATCCGCAACTTTTTATGGGAAGAGTCCGCCGAAGGATAGACAAGTGTTTCGGAAAGCAGGGGACCCTGATATAATATGATATTATACATATACATATATATATATATATATGTTTATTTAGATATTTATTTTTTATAAATATGTGTATATGTATATATTCTATGTATGTATGTACGTAAAACCAAAGCAGCAGAATCCAGTTCGAAGGACCCACAAGCAATCGGCATGCTTTCGGGGAAGCTTCCATCATTTTACCAGGCAGCCGAGAGTGAGACTAAATTCTCGCTGCTTTGGACGCCTGGCGCCACGGCTGTCACCTATGCAGCCTGAGTCCCGGTGTGCTCGGTTCAGAGTTTAGGGCCTGGTATAAGCCCTCAAGAAGACCCATACGCCCCGAAACACTAACCTCCGCACCCGCAATGAAATCAATCGGCCCCCTCAACTTAAAACTCCGCAAACCCCAAATCGTCCTAAACCTTGAAGGTCAAGCAAGACCTGAAGACTAATTAACCTACTGTAAAGACACATCCAGGTGTACGGTTTGTTATGGCCTTAATGCGTTCACGATTTAGTGTTCGAGGTTGTTGTGTTGTTGTTGGGCGAAGGTTGCGAGTCCGGGCTTCGAACATGCGGTGTCCATCATTTCGGTCGGAGGCTTCGGGGTATGTCGAGATTTTTGACAGGCCTTAGATTCGAAATTGGACATGGTAGCGATTTGACAGACAACTTCAGCGGTTTTGGTTGCGGCCTATACTGAATCCTTGCACCTGAGACGTTGCATGTTGGTTTCAGTGCTACCCTAAACCCTAAACTTTGCCTAAACCCTAGATGTGTCAGTTCCTTGGTTGGTCCTCAAAGGTCTCGTTCGGGTAGGCCGGAGCCTCGGGTGATCAATCCAAACCTGTGGCCAAAAAGACCTACCTTTTTAAGGAGCTATCTATATCTATATCTATATCTATATCTATATATATATATATATATATATATATATAGAAACCATAATAAGGAAACCTAAAAAGGTAGGTCTTTTCGGCTACAGGAAGGCCCTAAGCCCGAGCCTGGTTATTTCTGTGATATCAGTGAGCTCCACACCTAGCCCTGCGACCCAAGGCAGAGACGTAAGCTCAAATGCTGAAAGGTTTGCGATTACTATTCTATACCATACCATAACATGCGATATTGTAGCACAGTGTGGTATAGCTTGTTATATTATGGAGTACGGACTTGCTGAGGCTGCGCCACGTCTTGCACGACCTCCGGAAGCACTGCCACCCCAGGCCCCTGCTCACATCTTAGGGTTGAACCCTATAAAAATATATGGGCACCTAATTTTCGGGGCCTTATAATAAGGATCCTACTACTTCGGGTAGAAAGCATGATGTTTGCAGGAATCTCGCAAGGCCCTCAAAGTAGCCATGGGTTTCGGTTTGGGGCTTCGCCGAATGTGTGAGCAAGCAGCTCGGTCGTTGGATGTGCCCGCAAGCCTGAATCTAACTTCAATCTCCTGTGGTACCTACAATTGCATCCTCGGAAGCCCGTCCACGGTTCTGTCCATGGCCTCTCCGACTTGGCTCGGACATTTCTACCATTCTATCACTCATTGTGTTTTGTGCAATGCACGAATCGACAGCGACAGAGGGTTGTTCTCTGCCATGCCGAAGGGGTCGAGTGCTTTCATCCACTTTGCCGTCTTGGGCTCCCGTCGCCAAAGACATCTGAACCTCCAGAAGGCATATTCTCGAGAGGGCCAAGAAGTCAACGAAGCAGACGATCGGCTTGTAGCCTGAGCCCTCCTAACCCTTCCATCCTAAAGTAAAAGCCAGAAAATTGGAATATGATTATCCTAAACCCTTTATGGTAAATTATAAGGTATCCTACCCTGAAACCATATTCCAACTTTCTGGAGTTCCCTTGAAGAACATCTACACGCCCACCCTACTTACGTAAGCCCTAAACCCCAGATACATTCTAGCCAGTTGAAACACTTCGACGGATTTGCAACACGGACCTGTGATCCCACAGCCATCTTGCACAGGCTGTACAGTTCGATGTTATAGGGCTTACTTTGCTTTAAGAAACCCTCAAAAAGTTTTCGGTTCTGGGTTGATAGCCATCGCATTTCAATTTCGAACAAATCTTCATGGAAACAGCTGCTCGAATATATTCTCTACGGCCACCAGAATGCTAATCCATAGACATATTGCCAGAGACTAAGAATTTCGGCAAAGCAGAACAACAGTGACGATCGCAACAATACTTCACAATACTCATGTTTTTGTCAATAACAGTACCAATGGTTACAGTACGATAAAGAGCATACTAGCATGAACATTCATGGTAAGCACCAAGATAGCAACATTCATCATCATAAAAAAAACGCCGCTAAGACCTTGGGAGTGCCAGGAGCCCGTCGCCAAAACCAACCTCGCGGCACCCAAACCAGGATCCGGCTAAGAGGGTTGTGGGTTTGGGATTTTGCGATGGGGATTTCGGCTTAGGCTGCGGGGAGCTGTGTCGGAGTTTGAAACATTTGAGAAGAAGCGTTTCCAGCCTGAGGGAGACATGTCACGATTGTTCTTTTTGCGTCAGGCCCAGCGTTCCTGATAAAGGTTTCCCTGGGGGACGATGCTGCATCAGTGTGTCTGAGTCGTCGACTCACAAGACAGGTGAGCGGTTGAAGTGCTGCCAAGAGAGTTCTGAGGAGTCATCAACGCCTCATTCCGGGTGTGCATTCTTGAAGACATAGGGCCTTGAAGATCAGACTAGGGCTTGGGGTAGATCTTACTATAGCTATGGTAAGAAGCCCTAAGGAATGCGAGTCCTGTCTTATGGGCTCACGGCTTTGAGGGATCTATGGGTCGGGTCATAGTTCACCCCAAGCATCGAGTCGAAAAGCCTAGGCCAAACCCGAAGCCCAGAACCCCGAGTCTATCTGGAGCCCTTCAACTCCACAACCCTGTAGGGTTCAGGTTTTGGGTTTAGGGTTCAGGGTTTGGGGTTCAAAACCCTCTTATGCTGGGTTCTCTTTCTGTTTTCGGGAGTTCAGGGTTTAGCTTTCAGAGTTTGAGTTTGATTCGGGTGCAGAGTTCAGGGTTGGGTTTCAGGGCTCTCGGTTTAGGGTTCAGGTTTTAGGAGTTCAGGGTTTAGTAAACCCTAAACTCTTGAACGCCTTATCCGTGCAGGAGGAGAAGGTACCCCGCAGCCACAGGAGCGTGCGGGCAGCTCAGACTCCCTTATAATACCCGATAATCTTCTATAATACATGACTATACTGTTCCATAATCAAGTATAGCATAATCGAAGATGATACAGCATACTGTAATACTGCGGTAGGACGAAAGTTTGACCTACTCCTTCTTTCGTCGAACATCCTCCATAGAATCCTATCAAACACGACCAACCGGCTACCCCTCCGGAACATTAAAGTAGTATAATTTCAAAACGATGTATAAAATATTCTGCTGGCCAGGCCACGTAAATCGCACTTAGTACTCCGCTACTCCGCGAAACGTCTTGAGACAAGAACGGTCCAGCATGTCAGAACTTTTGTCCTCCCGATGTATAGTATAGCATAGTATAATACAATACAATACAATCTGTTAAAGTTGCTTTTTCTTGAAACAGTGTAACTTTCAGGCTTTCGGAGAAGGGGGGAAACAATCCCTATCCGATCGAATCTTCACTTTTGGATCCCCGACAAAATGGACCACGAAGAATCTCAGGAGGATGCTGTCCTTGGGCAGGGGGTGTTGGGGTTTGGGTTTCTCGATTCGCAGGCTACAGGTCCAGGGATTAGGGTTCGCGACATGGGGTTCAGGGTTGAAGCTCCGGTTTGGTTGTTAGCAAGTGAAACGGTTGATGATATAATCCTGCATTACCCATTATAAGGATTATGCCATAAGTCCCATAGTTTAGGGTCCTTAAGGTAATGCAGGATTTATTTCATCAGCCCTAAACCCTAAAACCCTATAGATCCCTTAAAGGAACCCCCTAAAGGTACCCCTATAGATCCCTTTAAAGGAACCCTAGGGATTTATATCATCAACCGAAGTTTGGAGTTCGGCTTTCACTCCCAGGCCATGGTCGCACTCGAAATCATGTTTCTATGCAAGTTGGACGAGTTGAAACTGGCTTCCCAAATCACAAGACCTGAACCCATAAGTATCTGCCCTGAAACCCCGCCGTTAGGATCTACGGTCTCTGTTTTAGACTATAGAGTCCAGTCCTAACCGAAGGTTTTAAGGTCTGGGGGCATGGCTCGCCTTTCGTCAGGCACGTCCGTTCCGTGCTGCGCGGGAGATGAGGTTGGCTTGAGGGGATTTGAGTCTTTCATGTCGTAGGTGGCGGGTTCAGGGTTAGAACGACCCGAAAAGCCCTTGTGATCAACTCCGAATCCCCGAAGTGGGTTCTTGCTCGTTACCATAATCGGCATCTATAGTAAATAGTATGATTTCCTCGTTTTGGTAACTTAAATTCCGGCCCGGAACAAGAACCCAGTGTAGGCACAAAACCCCACGGACCTCAGCACCTGTTTTTTGGCCTAAATCCGCCTGCGGGCTTGTCGCTAGAAGGACAAAAGGCACAGAACCCAAGCTTCATTTCTAGGTCTATAAGGGTTACTATAGTGGTAGGATGATACTAGAAGTAACAACCCTTCGGGCTTCCAAGGCTTCTAAACCCTAAAAACCCTAAGCCGTAATTTCGGTTTGGGGATGAAGCGTTGGCTGGAAACGTGAGGACTCCACTTCTCGCGGCTCTAAGGAGACCCTCGAGGGTTTTGGGGGTTGAGGAGGGTTTAGTTCTCTTAAGGTATTTAGGGTTTGGAGTTCAGGGTTTAGTGTCAAGGTTTTGTGGGGGAGTCTCGCAAGGAGAAGAGAGCAGGCTGTCTTCCAGATTCCCACCTGGTCTTCGAATTTAAGATTCGGGTTTAGGCTGCAGAGTTTTCCGGCATTTAGGCATGCGGGTTTGCATCCGTTGATGCTTTATAGAGGCGGGCTACAATTACTACTTCAGCGCGCTACAAAGCCGACATGCGCCTACCATGCAGTGTCGGTTCCGTCGGTTCTGTTAATGTTTTTTCATTTCCGTTTCCGATGTCGTCATCTAACAGAATGTTCGGTTGCGGCTTTTGGCATTCAGGTCGACGTGCAAGCTGCTACGAATCTCAAACGAAGTCCTTAAGCCACTTGATGCCACCGATGGGGAGGCGTCCGGCCATGACTGACTGAGAGTTGGCAGGGATCTGAACAGGGATAGCACTTGGGAGTTCGGATATAAGTTAGTATAAGGCTGAGGGTTCAAGTTTAGTGCAATTTTGTTCAATCAGTGAGTCGTTTCAGGGCTAAGAAGCGCCCCTTGAAACCAACACGAATCGAGGAACCTTGAGCCCAAGTCGCCCAAGGCTTCTTTCGGAAGTCCTTCAGGCAGTTGAGGGTTCTGTAAGGGGGTTTGTATCAGGATTCTTTCATAGGGTTTCAGACAGCTAAGGGTTCTGTAAGGGGGTTTATATCAGGGTTCTTTCATAGGGTTTTAGGGTTCGGGGTCGGCATGCTCATGTCTGTCTCTCGTGCTTCCCGGCTTTCCCGCGGGTCAAGCAAGTTGGGGTGAAAAATGACTCTTAGGAAATTGGACCGTTATAAATTTCGGAGCTCATATAGAACCCCCCAACGGTCGGATCATTCTTGTTTTATGTGAAGACCCCCAAACAAATAGCAACTTTAAAGAACCCCCTATTTCTTGAATGTCATATTCTCCCCGCAAGTGGGGCTTGTTTGGGATTAACTTTTATCTTTTGGGACATAAATGATCACGTTGTCATGTACTGGTTTGATTGTTTTGATTCTGGCCGGTTAACTGGCGAAGTGCAGGCATAGAACTTAATTGATTTTGCTTGAGCAGTGAAACATTACGAAGTACGAATGGCTGGACTAGAGCATGGCTGATCTTTCCGGGGCGCTAGCAAGATGGAGTATGGCAAAAGGGACTTCACAATCCTGTTTGTAGGTTCTAGCTCATGTCACCTTACTAATCATAAGGTATTGACAGAGCTTGAGAGAGCTGTTTTTCAATATGACTCTTTCGTGGACTTTCTGCTTTTAGTGGTTTGGTGAAATGAAGCAAATTCTAATTTTTTAATTTCAACCATGTCATTTTCTGAGAATTGGATTGTATTTATTCATGACTCTATTAGATACACTTTGTTCTAATTTGACACACTTTCTGGAAATATAACCGTGCAATTTACTTGCATTCTTGGATTTGAATATTATTTCTGGTGTTAATATACCGAAGTAAGTTAATTTCTTTCGAAGTTGGGGTTGCAAGATATTTTAATGTAAGTTTTAGATAATATCGAAACTAGAAGATTTACTATAATAATTTTTAAGATATCGATATACTTGAATAAAAAGCCGGCACTACTTGCGGCCCTGGCGGCTGTGCGCTTTCGGCCGTTAGTCCTGATGTCTTTTTCCGGGCCGTCTAGGGGCTCTAAATGTTGCGAACATTTGGAGCCCTTTCGAAAAGCTAGAGGCTCCAAATGTTCCGAATATTTTGGGAGCCCTCCCCCCCCCCTGCGATGTTTGTGCCCGTTCCGCTGCGTTCTGCTGTTGCGTTTGTGGTGTCTGTCGGGTGCTGAGGCTTTGTGGGATCTGCGGAATAGCAGGGTTTTGTGGTGTTTGTAGTGTCTGCGGGGTTTGTGGGGTCTGTATGTTCTGTGGTGTTCGTGGGGTCTGAGGGGTTTTGTGGGGTCTGTAGTTTCGGGGGTCTGAGGGGTTTTGTGGGGGTCTGCGGGATTTATGGGGTTTATGGGGTCTGTATGTTTTGCTTGGTCTGATGGTTTTATTTATTTTTGTGCGATCTTTTTCACGTTCGAGTTCGTGGGGGTCTGTATATTCTGCGGCGTTGGCGGAATGAGAAGGATTTTTTGATTTTTTTTTCGTTCGAATTATTATATTGGTCGCGATTTCTATGAATTATTGAAATCTTTTATGAGATATTTATATTTCTGTATATTTGGTGATAATGATCTTCTGATTTGATTTCATTATTAGTATTCTATTTCTGGTTGATCGATTTTTATGAATTTGAAAATATTCAAGCCTTCGAATTGTCGTTTTCATATGAAATAAATTATTCATTCTAGAATACGATATTAGGAATGAAATTTTAAATTTACGTAATTCTCTATTATTGAGACCCTCGAATTTTCTCTTTATTAATCTCGGGATCTTCGAATTCCGAGATTTCGTACGCGTTATATGATTTAGATTCTATTCTAAATTATTGGTCGTTAGATTTCGTATTTATAATAAGAAATTATTTGAATATATTCTTGAAAGTTTCGGTCGTATGAGATAGG